AAAGTTACACATTACATTAACTCCATTCCCACCCCCTCCTGAGTTTATTTGCTTTTATACTCCTACACAAACTCTTTCTAGTCTTGGGAGGGAGGAATGGGGAGGGCAGTATGGTGTAACTAGTTTTTTAAAAGTAGCGTGGTGTGGTAATGCACGCCTGTAATCTCAGCACTTGAGAAGCTGAGGCAGGAGAAATACCACGAGTTCGAGGCCAGCCTGGGCTATAGAGAGTTCAAGTCCAGCCTGAACTACATAGCAAGACCTTGCCTCAAAAAAATAAGCATATTTGAAGATATTGTTATGTTTTAGTTCCAACCATGTAAATTTGTGAGTGTGTAATCCAAAAGATGGTGCAGACCCTCTCCTATAGCCAAGCAATTCTTCTCAAGGGCCAGTGTCTTCCTTGATAACTGAGGAATCACTAGAGAATCACTAGACTCACTGGATTAGACTTTCTCCTCTCTTGGTCTTTGTCTCTAGTCTTTAAAAACCTCTGGAGGAGGCATTTTTACATTTAGATATTTGATGGTATAAGCAACCTTAAGGATCCTGGTACAAAACATGGCCAAAGTACAAACCCAACAGAGGAGACACAGCTACTTAGATTCCTTGCAGGTACCATTTGTAAAATGGCCTTCACTCTATTCTCCTAGCCTCTGAAAAAGCTAATGATGCATAAAACTAATTATTATAAAATAAGTCTGAAGCTGTACGGTAGCTGTTCACAATGTGGAAAATTACACTTTTTCATGGCCTATTTTCTTTTAAAATGTGTGCCCTTTCCCCACCCTTAATGTGTTCTGTATATGTAAAATAAATACTCTTCGCAGCAGGACCCTGGTTTGGAGGCCTTAAAACCTAATAAAAGAGCCCTGTAGTTTAATGGTCCTTAAATGCTCAACATCTTTTTCACTTAATGTAAAATCCATCTGATCTAATAGCTGTGACTGAATTATAGATATATAATTTTTTCTATTAAATGTTAATCTTCTGCCTTGGCAGAGCAATAGATGCTCTAAATTATTAAGAAGGCAATAAACTCTCTAAACTCTTTCCAGAATTCAAAATATTCCCAGGACTGCTATCATGGAGGAAAAAAAAAAAATCACAAATCTGCTTAAAATATAAAATAAAAATCAGGGTTATTAAGCACAACAATTTGATGGCAGATAACAATTACAGGGGACATTGTTTTTTATTGATATCTGAATGGAATATATACACATTTAAATAGATATATATACACATGTGACTAAATTACATATGTATATATAACCAGGGAAGCAAACCTCGCAAGTCTTGGCTCTTTTTTATTTACATGTGACATTTCTGTTACCTTCCCCTTTTGGCTGAATTCATGCATCACCCATGTTTGTGCATGCAGGCATACATAATGAAAATACCCTCTACTGCAAAAGCGATACCACGCGCCCAATTATGCTAAGCACAAGCACTTTCACTGCCCAGGGAGTCTTGTTCGAATGCCATTTCTGCTGCAGCTTGAGCTTTTTGTTTTTTAATCTGTACATTCATACTCACTTGAGCCAAAGGTCAATATATGCAGTAAGAATCAGAATCCATGCTAAGAAGCAGGTTAATATTTACCTGGAAAGGATGGTCTAGATGGTTGTTTTAAATAACCAAACCAGAACATGAGACAAGAGTTGAAATCCAGCCGCAAAGCCTGATTCAGTCTTGCTGGGGACCTCACTGAATAAAATGGGAGCAGAAATGCCTACTTTTCATTTTGTGTTTAGCACACAATCTATATTTGTGTGTGTGTGTGTGTGTGTGTGTGCAAACTCTGCCTTTATTCATCTGTTGCTTCCCTCTCATCCCTGAAGATTACTCATGACGTTGAAGAGCCAGGAGTAAGATCGGGGTTCCTTTTTCCCTGCCAAGTATGTTCAGCTGTGTTCCACATGTTGATCACAGGCGATTCTCTTCCAACCCATATTTTGGTGGAAGGAGGTCTGCTGTTACTTTGGTATAGAGAATATGTAAGAAGAAAAAAGACCACAACAAGGTTGCAGAATCCAGTGATGAAGAAAATAAGGAAGCAGTAAAAAGTACTTTTCTTCTTCCAGGCTGGTGATGTACCTCAGTGGCACAGTGTGTGTTTTGCAAGCACAAGTCCCTGGGTTCATTCCCCCTGCACCCCAAAAGTACTTTTCTTCCACCACAGAGAAGCAGGTGTCAAGAGAAGCTCACAAGAACTGCAATAGGAAGTCTGGCATATATGTAGTCAGCACCGATGCCTGTTTTCATGAACACCAAATATTAATTTGAGATTCGTCCTTTTCCTACTTTGAAACAAGTGAGCTGAAGAACGCGAGCCATTCAGGTAGGCAAGGAGCAGGTGAATGAGAACAATTTTAGGGCCTTATTGGAAAAAGGCTGGTAAGAGCCAGGACTGGGGTAGGGGAGTGCTGATGTTCTAAAGCTGCAACGTTTTCAAAGCAGCAATGCGCCAAAGCATGCAAAATAACATTTTAAACTGGCCATAGTTAAGGGGAGCACTAAACAAAAAACAAGGCATGAGAAAGACTACATCTGTCAACTTTCCGTTTCTTTACAAAGAGGAAAGGTTTGCTTTGGTCTCTGTCATTCGTCTCTTGGTCCATTGCTTCTGGGCCTGCAGCAAAGCAGCACATCATGGTGGATGTAAGTGTGTAGCAGAGGAAACCAGTTACCTCCTAATAGCCAAGAAGCAAAGAGAGAGGAGGGGAAGGGACCAGAGTCCCAACATCCCGTTCAGGGCAAACCTCCAATGACCTAACTTCCTTCCACCAGCTCCCACCTCCTTAAGGTCACACCACCTCCCATTTAGCACACCTGAGAGCCAAACCAAAGCAATGACTCAGCTAAATGCATGTGGAATTTTAGAACAATACAGATACAGCTTGTGATTAAAGTCACTGTGATATTAAAATTTAAAGAGCTCATTGGATGAATATTTGATTTTACTAGCTAATTCTTCATAACAATGATGCTCAGTTAAAAGCTTTTCTAAGGAAGCAGGAATGATAAGAGAAAAAACTAAGGATCCAATCATAACAGATCTCCCAGAGGACCTTCAATATCTTAGACGACTGCCTTTCTTTTTTTTTTTCTGGTACCGGGAATCAAACTCACGACCTTGCGCTTGCCAGGCAGGCGCTGTGCCACTGAGCTAAATCCCCAGCCCCAGATGATGGCCTTTCTCCCTTGGCTGTAAGTTTAGATCTCCTAGTGTTTCTGCACACAAGGCTGAAAGAGACAAGCATCACCCATTGTGTATGCTCCACTTGCTTACTAACTAAAAAGTTTTAATCACCAGCATTGTAGATGAAATCTCTGCCTCTGATATCAAAAGGCAAGTGGTTGAGACAATGGCATTCGTTTAAGAGGGTTCTGGATAGTTAACTAAAAATAATTATTACCATCTATACTGTAGACCCCGTCATTTTCCACTCCAAATTTTCCAAAGATATGAAACGGCTTAGCTTAACTTCCAAATGTTTTATAAGGATGTTCAAGACAATATTCTACAGAAAACATTTTATTGATGGTTCAAAACACAATAAAATACACATAAGGCTCCTTTCCCATTTTATTATGGAAAACCCAACGCTGAGCATGACTGTTCATTTTAGAATTTGCTCTGCTGTTGAGCTTCAGTAGGTGACCAAAAACTCACAGAAAATGGAATTATTTTAAAAATCAGACATTGCTTATGTCAACTGTATGTATCTCCCTAGAGAATCAGAAATGAATCCAGTTCTGACTTTTCACCATTGTTTCTACCCTGAAAAAACAGGATGATTTATTCTTTGGTGTGAGAAAGTATTGGGATGTTCCTTTCCCCCTGTTATACAAATATGGGATTTAAAAAATCTGGTTCTGGGTGCTTAAAGATATTGTTAAAGCACTTTTTGCAATTTAAGAAAATTAAGCTGAAATGATCCATTTGTTCAGTTATTTCTTAACAAATTAGTAATTTTCATTCTGAATGGTAAACAAAATATTAGTAAAAATAACAAGACAAACTTTCCTTAATGAGATGAAGTTAATAAAAATAGCTGATTACATTGGAATATTTACTATAAACATATCCAATTTTATTCTTTTCTTGCTATCTATATACTCTTACACTTTACCATATTATTGCACTTCTGTCAAAAACCTCAAGATGTTTTCTAAAATTGATTCTCTAACGCTAATTTTGCAGGAAAACTGCATTTTACATTATTAATCTCATTAGTATAACTTTCCTACAAATAAGTATGAAACATTTGGAAGATACAAGTATAATGAGCACTTGATTTACAATAGTAGCAAATGCCAGTCATTGCTAAAAAAAATCTGAAGTTTTTGACACTTTGAAAAATCTAACATATCATTTATCATTGTTCTCTAAATACTGTGGCAAGAAAAGTCACCACAAAGTAAAAAATTAAGATACTGTTATAGAGATAATGAGGCAAGCTCATTATAAATTCCTGAAATATTCCATCCCTGCCTGTTTTTAATCTAAATGTAATTTAGCACTGAAAAGAATTTATGAAAAGAAATTTACTTTAAAAGGCACAAAAATTATTGGTGTAAGAAGAAAACACATTTCCACCTCCAACAGAATTCAAAGGCATGCATTAAGTTCCCTCAATAAGGATACAACTTGGCCAGCCAAGTCATAACATTCCTTGAAACTACATTAGGCACAAGGATCAACTGAGGATTGGAAAGGTCTTCTAATCCACTTAAACGTGGCCATGAACCGAATTAATTTTTCTGAAATAAACCATTAAATTATTTCAGCCTGACCCCTTTTTGTATGGACCCATTCAGATGGCATGTTTCATTAGGGACTCAAAGGTTTAAAAGTAGTTAGTCAATCAAAAACAAAGTGTTAGGTGGTTTCCCTAGCTACAAAATTAACATGTATAGAATAACATAAGATTTGAACTGATACTGAAAAACTCAGTAACATACTCATCTAATTGAAAAAAAAAAAAACCCTATTGATGGAACAAAATATATTTTATTTTAATTATACTAGCCAAGTAAGGCCCAGAAGAGGCAGAGAGTTGCATAGGAAATGCTCAGCACCAGCAGGACAAAGCAGGCGGGCCGGGAGGTGCTGACGTTAGCACACCAGCCCCTGCCGCATCTGTATGATCTGCAGTAAGGCTGCCTGGACATCTTCATCCATGTGACCCTTGGGAGAAGGAACAAAGACGAGAAACAGCTCATGTCATCTTTACTTACACAAGAATTCAAAAGACAAAGGCCTTATCCTGGGGCCCGACTGCTTACGATTCAAAACCCTCATGACATCAGGGTGATATTCTATGGGAAATAACTGGAAAAGGGAGTATAGCTCTAGCATGAAAATGAAAAAAGCCAATTACTAAGTAGTGCACACCAGAAAACAAATGCACAAACCCCGCTCCCTCTCTCTCTCTTCTTCTCTCCCAGCCTCCAATAATGGCTCTGATGGTTAGAGAGCATAAATTGTACATGAACAAAACAAACCAATGAATTCTGCTGTTGCTGCTGTTGCTGAGATTGTCTTTGTGTTTAATTAGGAAGTAGCTGAGGAAAAATCCCCACATTCATATTTTCTATATAAACAAGGTCATGTAATATGTATCATTTTGTAATCTGCTTTTTTATTTAGTTTCATAGTTATTCTTCCCTAGAGCTATGTAATTACTTTAATTTTTGTATAATAGTCCATTATATGAATATATTACATTTCTTTGCCCATTCCCCAAACAATGTATGATATTTCCAATCTTTATGGCCAGATAACCCAGAGAAGAACTTGCTGGGTCAAAAGCAGTCTCAATTTTTAATTGTGCAAAGTACTACAAACGTCCTTCTATAGAGATTATAACAGTTTACACTCCCACCCAACAAGGTATAAACACGTCTTTCCCACACGCTCTAGCCAACTCAGTGCACTCTCACCTTGCTTACGCAGGTGCCCATCCCAGATGTAAAAAGTGGTACCTCTCGTTCATTTGCATATCCCCCATTACTGACTAGGTTGAGCATCTTTTTACAGCACAGTAGCCATTTATATTTCAATGAATTCAAATGAAATACTTTAAATTTTTAAAAGTGGCAAAAGGTTGACTAAATACAAGCCTTTTTTCTTCCTTCTTGCTGGAGCACATGCATAGGTTTCGGCACAACGTTTCTATTAATATAAAAAGTTTTACTTCCAAAAATCTGTTTTTATAACAGCAGAATGTTTAAATTTCAAACATTAGCCATAGCTGACTAAACTGAGTTCTTAGTTAACTTCAGGATGCCAGAAGGCAAGACTATTTCAGATGCCAATTGCTTTTGTTATGTTTCATTAGGACTGAGTAGAAAATAATTTCGGATTTCAGGAGTGTGAATTATTCAAAGTAGAAAGGGTATTTATTTGTTGTGTCTTTCAGTGAGAGCGAGCTCTTCTTCCATGAGTCAATACCAGTGTTTTTCATTCTCTCTTAATACTATAGATTTTCTATTCTTTTCTACTATTTGCCCTCCTAAACTACCTATCCTGGTTTTTGCCTATAGTTTTCTCTAATAACTACCATACACTTTCAAATCCCAGCCTATCTTCTACCTGCTCGCACTATTCTTTTTCAGTAGCTTCCACTCCATCATTTTTTCATAGAAAATACTGGATCTAGTGGTGCATGCCCATAATCCCAGCTACCTAGCAGCCTGAAAGAGGAGGTTCACCAGTTCAAGGCCAGCCAAGGCAAGTTAGTGAGATCTTACCTCAAAATGTAAAAAGATGTTTAAGTCTAGGGATGTAGCTCAATAGCAGAGCACAGGAAGGTGATGCCCTATGTTCAATCCCCAGGTACCTCCCCCTGAAAACTGGTTATCATTTGTTTTATTATTTTATCTAGCTCTCTTGTAAAAATGGTCATTCCTTGAAGTTTCTGCTTAACACTAATCTTTTCTTTTTCTTTTTTTTTTGAACAACAAGGTCTACAACACTTCAAATCCAAATAATTCCTATTATTATCTCTCCCTTGTCATTCTAACATTTGTATCTTCCTAAAAAACCTATTCTGAGAATTTTGGAGATGCTGCTCCTACGACTTTACAAGTTAAACATTTTCTTAGCCTTTTTTTTTTTTTTTAAACAGCATTATCACCCTTAAAGAAGGAAATTTGTAATCTTATGTTTCACTAAGCTTAACGCTCAACAGACATTACCAATTATCTCTTAACAGACCAATTTTTCTCTAGCTATTACAATTCTATGCATAGCCTGCTTGCCATTTTCAGACTTTTCTAGCATTTTCTGTATTTCAAAGCAATGCTCCTCTGCTACCAAGATACACATGAAGTCCTTTCCACTCCCTCTGCAGCTGACAGCCCTGCTGGATGTCAAGGCATCAATGCTAGCCAGCAGCACTATGAAAACGTGCTGCCATCGCATGTTGCCAAACTGTCTAAAAAATGAGTGACAAGCAGATGGAGACAACACTAAATTTAAGATGCTGTGTTGCCACATAGCTTTGTAAATTTTTCTGGGAAATATGCAAGCCATGATTAAAAGAAACACAATTATTTTTAAATAAGCATATGGGATATAGCTACTTATTTTATTTATTTATTTACTTATTTATTTATTGTTTTTGTTTTTTACAGACAGGGTCTTGCTATGTAGTCCAGGCTAGCCTTGAACTCACGTTTGATCCTCTTGCCTCAGCCTCTCAAGTGCCAGGATTACAGGCATGTGCCACCACACTCAGCTATAGGGGTACAGCTATTTTAAGTATCCATCACTCACACATAAATTTACTTTAAGATGAAAAAAAAAAAAAAAACTACAGTATTTTCTAAAACAATAGCCTTCCCAAAAGAGCAATAGTTCTTTACCTGTGCTGCACTAAGAAGGTGTGTCCGGTAAATTGCAATTACTTCTTGGTGCTGCCTGTCAGCATCCTAGAAAAGCAGAAAGATGCACAGATCAGAATATCAGCATTCACAGCTCCAAACACACAGCGGCTTGTGATAATACCGTCCTGAGGCCTGACACTACAACACAGTGGCATTACCATCACTAAACGGCTCCTGCTACTCTTCTTGGAACAAATCACCCGACCCTACCAGGCACAGGATTCCGTAACAGGAAGCAGTGTACACTTTTCTAAGGAATGTGTGGAGCATTCATGATGAAAGCAGTGCCACTTATCCAAGGTGATATGAAATTACTGCTTTAGTTTACATCTACTGCCATGAACTTGCCCAGACAGAACTCATGCTGTGGGTGACTACAAAAGCGCCCCGTCCCGTCTTATCACTACACTAAGTCCCCTCCCATGCTTCTGAGACTGAAGCATCTATTTCCTCATGTTAGACTTTGTTTCTTTCAGGACCAAACAGAGGGAATAGACCAGATTTGTAGGGTGGTGATGATAAAGTCTTGACATAAAATAAGTACAAATGTTGAACGCAGGGCCTGGCATATAATTAGGCACCAAATAAACATCATCATTCCACCAGTAGAGGGAACTTTTTGTAAAAATGTTTACATCTTTGATATGAACAGAGCTGCAAATCAAGTGGCTTCTGAATAGGCTTCACGCACACTCCAAGGTGTCCTGGCCCCTCTGAGCGCAAGGCCTCTGGCATCCAGTACTCACAGCCAGCTGCTGCTGCAAGGCCTTCACTTGGTGCTGCAGGGTGTCCACCAGCTGGCTCTGCCTCTTGGTGGGGCTCCCGCTGGTGTATGTGAGCTGGGACAGGCCGTTGAGTGCCTGCTTTAGTCTTTCTACATCATTGAGCAGTTCTGTTATCTATCGAAAGAAAAGAAATCACAGGAGAAGCACATATTATTCATTGATAATGAACATACTTGCATAGCAATTATTTGAGACACAAACTTTATATACTGGAAAATGGAGGTATGGATATCACGAACTTCTTATCAACAACAAACTTGTATCATTTCATTAATTAAATTCCTTCTAGTAAATTTCTTACAAAAGCAATACCAAACTAAGAATATATGCATCCTTTGATTTGGGCATGAACTCAGACATTTTTTTTTTCGTCTTTCTGAGACAGGATCTCACTATGTAGTTTAAGCTGGTCTTGAACTCATTTTGTAGCCCAGGCTGGCCTCAAACTTAAAACAATCCTCCTCCCTCAGCCTCCAGAGTGCTGGGATTATAGGCGTGTGCCACCACACTCAGCTGAATTTAGTCTTCTTATTCCTAAATAATGTGTATGGCTCTGTGAATGCACATAAACTATCTTCCAGGCAAGGTTTGGAACACAGGAAGGAAGGGGGTCCTCTGTAACACTGTGCATTTAGAATTAACTTACATGCCTTCTTCCTCTCAGGGGTTGTATTAAGACTATTCTGTTGTACTGAGACAGAAAAAATAGGAAGGCTATTTAGAAAAAAAAGCATAGGCTTTGAAATCAGACAGATCTGGCTCATATGAGACTGGCAAATTGCCTTTACTTTTCTGAGTCTTTCATTTCCTTGTTGGTTAAAGGGGATAAATCTTTCAGAGTTAAGAAAATCAAATACAATCCTAATTATATGTCTGATACATAGCACATGTTCAATAAATGGCAATGTGTATAAGTACATATTTATAATTAGCTGGTAAACTTATATATTATATTCCTAAAGACCTTGCAAATGCAGTGAGAAGTTTGCAATTCTGGGTCTTATGGGAAGACGTGCCAGGTGTTAGTATTTGTACCTCTCCACTGAGAAGGGCTGGGTCTGAATCTGCCTTTATCACCACTGTATTCCCAGCACCCGGCATGAGGCATTTAATAATTATCTTCTGAATGGGTAAAACTGCAGTCTCATTGCCATAGTATAAACTGTGACTACTAGTTTCAAAAATATTGTTGAATACTTATTCTGTACATTGTACCAAAAGAATGAAAGACGGACTGCTTAGTTCACTGCTACAGGGAAGTATCAAGATCAGGTATGGGCACTTCCCGGGGTGCCTGGTTTTTGGCAGCACAGGAACATGGGCTTTTTTCCTCCTCTCCATCCCCATTCTTCAGCTGTCATAAGCCCACGGGACTTGGACTACTCGTTTATGAGGCAAGTGAGTCTTGAGTCTCCCCATCTTTCTTCAATTCGTGGCTACACCGGGTGAAAGAACAGATGGAGAAAATGCTCTTGATTTTTGTTTGTGCTTCTTCAATTCAGGTTTTGGTACACCAGTAGTCAACCTGCCTGCTGGATGCTATGGTAGAGCCCTATTCTGCTCTGGGCTTTCCGAGGCAGAGCCACCCACACGACTTTGTGCCTACCTTATTATCTTTGGCTTCGATTTGTTTAGCAGATTCTTGTATTCTTCTCTGTAACTCCGTGATTGTTGTTAAGGACTTATCGCATCGTTCTTTCTGATCCTTGATTTCTTGCTCGATGCTGAAATGCAGTAATTCCTTCTCATCTTTTGTAGCTAAGTTCTTCTTCTTGGCATGCAAGACCTCTTCACACACTTCATCATACTTTCTGTTCAGATTGGCCAATTTTTCATTTAGGTTGGAAACCTGGGTCTCTAAGTCCTTTTTCGTTGCTTTATATTTAGACAAATCAACTACCTCTCTAGTCTCTAATTTTTTTAACGCTTGTTTAGTATTCTGAACTTCAGTCTGAAGCTTGGAGACCTCTTGGGTTTTGTTTTGGCTTTCTTCTTCCTTTTCCCTCAAGCTAGCTTTCATGACGCCAACCTCTTTCTCAAATGCTTCCTTAACCTGCAGGTGTTCTGCCAGGGGCACAGAAGAGTTCTTTTGATTCTCCAGCAGCTGCTGCAGCTTGCTCACTGTCTGCTGCTCTTTCTCAAAGCACTTCTGCTTATTCTTCAGTTCTTCCTTCAAGTTCTCAATGGTGCCATTAAGAGATTTTTTCAGGGCCTCCACCTGTTCCAATGGAACATGCTGATTTTGCAGAAGACTTTGTACTGCAAGGATCTCAGAGGTCTGTCTGGCCTTTTCCTCTGCTAGTGTCTCCTTCTCGGCCTGTACGTCAGTGTACTTCTGTGACAGATCTTTTAACTGTTTGCTGAGCTCTTCTGCTTTCCTGCTCAGCACCCTTTCCATGTCACGGGCATTCTCCACGAGGACATTCCTATCCTTTAACTCTTTCTGCAGGTTACCGATCTCCCTCTTTAACTTCTCACTCTCTTGCTTGCTTTTCTTGACTTCTTCTTCTCTGACGCTGCACTTCTGGGTCTGCTCTGATAGCTTTTCTTTTAGTTCTTTCTCGGTTGCTTTGAATTTCCGCTCACTCTCTTCAAAGCTGATGATGGGAGCGTATTTTAGTTTGATGCACTCATGGATCGTGTCAAGTTCCTTCTTCTGGGCTTTAATTTCAGCATGCAGCGACGCGATCTCCTCCTGGCCCCGGCGGTGGTCGGCCAGAACTGCAGCGTTCGCCTCCCGCACCTCCTGCAGGCTCTGACTCACGGCGCTCATCTTCCCCTCGTGCTCCTCCAGGCTGATGTACTTGGCTTTGATTTGATTCTGAGTGGTTTCAAGGTTTCTTTTTAATATTTCATTCTCGTCTTTTATTTTTACAAGTTCCTGGTTTACGTCTTCGAATCGCTTCTTTGCATCAGACAACTCTCTACTGGTCTTATCTAATGTGTTGCTCAGGGCAGTTTTAATCTCTTCGTGGGTTTGGGCTGGCACATACTGGTTACTCAGCGTCTTTTTCAAATTGGCCTTTTCAGATGTGAGTGCGTGAATTTTCTCTTGATCTTCGCCACATTTTTTATTAAGTTCAGATAGCTGTTTTTTAAGTTCAACAATATTGAATTTCAGGGCCATCATCTCTTTTTCATGTTTCTCAGGAGGAATGAACACAGTTTCCAGGCGGTTAATGTTCTTACGTAACCTGTCATTTTCCATCAACAATTTCTCCACTTCAGATTTCTTTTCTGTATATTTCTGTGTTGCCTCTGAAAGCTTTTTATTCAAATCATCAATATTAACATCATGTGACTTTTTCATTTCTTCACTGACTTTTAGAGGGACGTAATGAGTTTTCATCTCCGTGCTTAGGTTATGCACTTGCTGGCTGAGGAGCTTGTTATCCAGATGAACCTTCTCAAGCTCCTTTTGGAGAGTCTGGTTTTTCAGCGTTAACTCGGTGACCTTCCTCCCGAGCTCTCCGGACTTTTGCTCTAGCCTGCCCTTGAGCTGCTCGTGTTCCTCCGGGCTGACTTGCTGCGCGAGCCTGGCCCTGACATTCTCGAGCTCTCTCTTTAACTGCCGAATTTCACTAAGTGATCGCTCATACTCCCTTTCCATCTCTACTAGCTTCTTTGCTTTCTCGTTCACTTCATTTGATAGTAAGCTCTTCATGTTCTCAAACTTCTCGGTTGGGATGGACAGGGCCACCTTGGCTAACAATTCTTTTAACTGCCCTTCCATCTCCACGACCTTCCTTCCTTTCTTTTCCCGCTCCATTTCGCACATACTAAATTCCTTCTGCAATCGTTTCTTTTCCTCCACCAGCCTGCCTTCATCCCTCTTAAACTCTTCCACTAACATCTCATTTTGCTTGATTTGGTTTCGTAGTTTTCCCACTTCTGCTGAGGCGCCTTCGTATTTTGCTTTCATGTCTTTCAACTGGTCCTTCAGCTCCTCCATGACTCTGTGGTTTCCTGTGGCCGCTTCACTTGTCAGGTGCTCCTTAAGGGCAAGGAAATGGGTCTGCATTTGCTTCACTTTGCCTTCTGACTCATACATCCGCTTCTGCACATCTTTTAAGGCATCTTCTAACTGCTTTATCTGCTCATCGGAGTCCTCCTTGACTCTTTCACATTCTAAAGCTAAAGCTTTGCATTCTGCCACCTTGTGCGCCAGTTCATTTTGGAGTTTGAGCCGGTCTTGTTTTGCTGAGTCACAGAAAGTTCGCATTGCTTCTAGCTCTTTCTTTAAAATCTCGTTTTCTGAGTGTGAGCTTTGACTGGGTAGTGATACCTCCAGGGGTCTTAGCATAGACCTACTTTGCATGTGGGCTGGCAGTCCAGGGGAAGTGCACTGAAAAGGAAGAAGTGACATCAATCACAAAAGCCTGAGGGAGACACTCACTATTTGTCAAATATATATAAAGTTTCTCCCTTACCCGGAGTCAAAGGTTTCCAGCGTCGGCCAATGGAAAAAAAATAATCATAGTACTGATTTTTGTGGCAAGAAAAACATTTCTAGGTATAAGTTTCTTAACATTTTGAGATCTGTTCACTTAAGTCTATTTCTGGCAGAACAAAGAAGAAAAGTAGCTGTGGCATCTGGACTCACTTTCCTTTCTGTCCTCTTGATAATATCTACCCATAACACAAGAGTACCAACCTCATCAAAACATATTTACCATTTCTATGTTTACAGCATATAATGTACTTAGAATATCAAATTCTAAAGCAAGCTATCAGAATGCTTGAATAAAAATAAGTACTGCAATTTACAATATGAAGTACTATAATTTAAAATATGCAAAAAATTTCATAGAATTATATATTACTGATGTTCTAATGAAGTATATGGCTTGTGAATGAATACCTTCACTGTTAACTCCAACATAACGTTTCTTAAATATTAAAAATACTACTCAAGTAAACCCCAGCTAGTATGACAGTTATTAAGAAAATGTCAGTTAGCTCTCAAAAAGAGAAACAAGTTTTCTTCTCTTAGGATAGAATTTAACACATAATCTTAGTACAAATCTAGATTAATACAGTACCTTGCTTCCTCTATTAAATGCTGACCAAAAAAAAGCCCCCAGAAGTACAATTAAACTTTTGAATGAAACAGTTCAAGTAGCAGAACACACAATCATGAAAGACTAAACTTAGCTCTTTATTGCCCCATTGAGCTTATTACAATAAGGGCTCTTTATAAGTACAAGTTCATTGATAAAAGCACTATGCCATGAGGACATCCTATGATTTCAATGGGCAAGTTTTATGATTATTTGGTTCAATACAAACTACCTTCCTCTGAATCAAGAGAAACATGACAACATGGAATAATCTCCTCGCCCTGGTTTCCTTCTACAGTCTTCTTCAATTTATCAATTTTATTTTCAGTTTAAGGCTACTGCAGTTTGCCAAGAAACTACACAGCTTCACAATTTCCATGTTTATTTTCCTACAATCAAACATTTATCTAATCTTTGGCACTGGTTAGCTGAAAACCGTTCTCTCTACTTAGAATCTCAGAATTCTTCATCTTACAGATACCTTCCACATTATCTAGGCCTCCCCATTCTGCCTGCAGAGGTCAGAACGTAAAAAAGCCTTTACACTCCAAATACATATCAGTTCTGCAGGCTACAGAAGGCACTAGAAATGTGAACCTTGTACCTACTGAAAAATAAAATAGGGACAGATAAATAGGTAAGCAAATCAGACAGTACCCCTCAGAAACTTTATTTTGATGTGAACTTCTAAAACACAGAATATACATGTAATTGCAGGGAAAAATACATTTGTGTGCCCGAGCCAAGGACCTTTTAATTACTCATACCTATGTGCCCTGCTATATGGGTGAAGAGGATGAGCTGCAGTCACTGTGAAGAACAGAGGCTTACTACCAAAGCCACTGCCATCGCAGACACTGCAGCGCGCACCAGGACAGCAGCGTCTGCTTTCAGTAACCTCCAGAGAACAAGATAAACTCCAGTAATGAAGATTTTACTCACTGTATCCGTACTTAGTAAATATGCAATGCTGCTTCCTCTCTTCATAAAGATACAAATGTTTTCTTTAAATGTTTTTTAAAATTAAAAAAGTATTACCTGAGATTCCATCATATACATTGGACCTTGTTTGAGCACATCTTCTTTTCCTAAATAAGTCCAAATAAACGACATCTTAACTTAAATATCCACACCAGCTTAGGGTAACCACTAACTTGGTTATTATTTCCTTTTCTTTATAATCCAATTAAAAGCGGGAAGTACAACATAAAATTATTCTTGAGCTAACATGGATCTAAAATAGCCACACCTTTTCCTGTTTCTATAAATATAAGGGAAGTATCCATAGCCTAGTGAACAATAGATACTAAATTGGTTAGGTTAAATAGGTTACACGGTTATTAGAAAATATATAATCAAAAAAAATTTCTTTGAACTGTATAGGATAAATACTACTGTTGTACTTAGCTCGAGTATAGTTTAATACTCAACTAAGAAGCAAAAAAATCAGATTTTTGTAGAAAAAATTCATAAAATTAGAGAAGAAACAGAAGTGAAGACTAATTATGTATGGCCCTAAAATAACAAACAGTTGTTTATGGAACTTGTAATTATAAAATACTTATCAGCATTGAGATTGACTTCTCAAAATCAGAAAACTGTTTCTTTCTAGAAAAAAACAAACCCTCAGTATCATGAGATGAATGTATACTAATCAACAAGGCAAATGTGGTAACTCATACCATTTACAGTTTTAAATTATAGGTGGTGCGAAAAGCCGGGGGAAAGGTGACTACCAGGTTTCATGCTAGAGCCCACAGCATTCATCTGAACCCCTCTCTAGCTCCATCTGTTGAGGTACACAGTAAGCAGCAGCAGCAGATTTACGTATGGCCAGGTAAACAGGCATGAATATTCTTTCTTGTTTCAACTGGGTGACCCATAATGATCATCCATGCTTTTATACTTACGGTTACTGAAGTGACTTCCTGATCCTAAATGATCACTCTGAAACCAGAAACATACAGGAACACATTTCAGGTGAACGCTGCTTCATTTTGTGAAATGATGTATCTATAAACTACTTCAACTAAGCATTTTAATAAAAGCTGCCAAGCACTTCAAGATAAACCTTTATTACACTGATGAAAAAAAAAGTGAGCCTCCAAGCAACTGAAAAAACGTGTAGTACTAGTATTTGCTACTGTTCTGCCTCAAAAAAAAGGAAGTGCCACATTCCCATCGAGGATTCCTTTTACCTTGCCACTATTGGGAGCAGGAACCCCTTCCCACTAACTGCAAGAATTAGCATAGTTCTGTCTTTCAGAATTTACAGAACTCTGACCACTTCTGAAGGCAAAAGGAGGCAGAGCGCAGGAAATGGATCTGAGAGAAAAGCCTACAAACCGCGATAAACCTGTCAATGCATCAGTTGGTAAAACGAGAGTAGCAGAGACAATTTGGATGCTCACAACTAAAATACATGTGCACTGCTCTTTTCCCAAGTAAGAACACAAAGAATCTAATATACAGGGGTATGTGAGTGTAGTTCATGTCCTTCGGTGTAGCACTAATAACTACATGGCACACCTGGAGCTAGGTGACCTGGATAAAGCAGTCTAGAGGTTTGTAGCTAGGTTAATGCCACCTCCATTAAATCTCAGCAGCCCAAGTATATAGAAAAATATCCATAAGCATAGGTAAGCTCTTGGTTCTACGTAATATTTAATATTAGAATTTCCAATAACTTATGAAATAGTCTTATACACGTATGTGTGTTTGGGGGGGTAACTGTGCACACAAGAAGTTCAAAATGTGTAACCTGGTTTTATTATCTTTCCTGCATTTCTCAAATGAAAACGAATATATGAATTCTACATAAAATTAGCCTCATTCTAAAACAGCTGTATTTCCCTGTATTTTTTCTATAAACATAGGGGAAATACCCACACATCAAGGATTACATATAACTCAGTGATACTGTCGGTGACTGACGAAGGTTTTCACTGTTGCTGGTACTGTTGTGTGCATGTGTGTGGTCCTTGGGAATGAATTCGGGGGACTCTACTATTAAGCTACACCCCTAAGCGGGTGACATGATATCATAATGGGTATTCAAGTCATCTTCAGCTTTCACAAATGCTGGAATGCATAAAAAGTAGGTCCTGTAATTTCTTTTTGAAAGTAGAACAATCGTTCTGAGTATGAAAATTCATCACAATCAATATATACTAACTGAGGAACATGTCTCCGTTACATAGAACAAGAAACAATATAAGACACGAAGTACAATATGATCCTACCTGTTGAATGAATTGTAATACACAAAGGATGGAAACGATATTCGTAGGTGCTAACGGTACTATTGCAGGTGTCTTTTTTTCCCCCTAAGACAGGATCTGGCTATGTAGCCAAGGCTAGTCTTTGAACTCACCATGTAGCCAAAGCTGGCCAGGAACTCATGACAATCCTCCTGCCTCAGCCTCCCAAATGCTGGGATTACAGACATGTGCCATTACACCCAGAAAGTATCTATTTTCTGCTTTTAGTTTATCTGTATCTTCTAATTTTTAGAAAATAAATATATACTGGTTTGTAATAAGTTACTTTTGTGTAATTTTAATAAGTTATAGGTCATAATTGACTTTGCTGAAAGTTATAAATTTGACAAATTTGAGTTTGTCAAAAGCTACAGAAAAACATCATATTCAGAGGACATACAGAGAGATTTTACCTCCTAAGAAGTAATATGTGACTACTACCCAAATTACAGGTGTCAGATTGACGAATACCTCACAGGCCCTGTCTATACACTTGTATTTTCTCATCTAAGCTATTCCAGTTGGAAAACTAGGTGAGAACACAAAGAGCACCAAGAAGCCAGATGCCTGGGCGAAAGTTCCGGTTCTGGACTTTAGTCTGTGAACTCCTCCCCGGGTGACCCTCTCTCTTCTTCAGCCTCCTTGCACATAAAGTGCAGCTACAATGACACCTATCCCACAAGGCTGCTGCGTTTACTGCCGTGTGTATAGTTCCCGACACAGGGTCTGTAACATGTCAATGTTGGGCATTACTGCATTCCAGATGACCTTAAAAAAGAGCCTCCAAATGCGAAAAGACAGAAGCCACTGCAGTTACAGCATTCTTTAGTGTATAAAACTCTTTCTGAATAATCTTTGGACTGTAGCCATCAATACAGAACACTTTTGCTGTCATTTAAAAAAATGCACCAAGGTATAACGCAGCTGCACTCAAGTGCAGTGGTTACAGTACACACTTTCTGCACATGTTCATCTTGTGTGATCACAACCCAGACCAAGGTACACAACGTTCACTGCAGCCTAGAAGTTTCTCACACCCCACCCAGCCAGAAGGCCTCACCCAGGGGTCTAAACACCTCATACTGCTTTATGGGCCGATGGGGCCCATGCAATGGAGCTGGACTAATGGAGCAGTGTAGCGTTAGGGACTGTGCAGGCTTTGTGTCTGATTTCTTTCATGCAACATTACACCTGTGAAATTCACCCCTACTTTACATTGTTTTTCATAACTGCAATTTTTATTTACAGGAAAAGTTACTTTTTGTTACCTTCTGCATATCCCCCAAAATGTGCTGAAACTGATTTCCTTTTGTGGTGGAATTAAGGAGCGGGGCCTGGAGGGAAATGATTAAGTCTCAAAGACTCTGCTCCCTGAAGAAACAAGTGCCTCTTTGGAGAGAGCTGTAGAGAGCGAGCCCAGCCCCTTTCTGCCCTTTAGCCTTTTGCCAAGTGAGAGCTCGGCACTTGGCCCTCGCATCGGGTGAAGAAGGTTTAGCCAGAGGTGCTCAGCAGACACGGAATACCGGCCCCATAACTGTGGGAAACGGATTTCTGGTAGGTCATCCAGCCTCAGGTATTTTGTTGCAGAGGCACAAATGGACTAAGGCACTTTTAAAAATGTACATTGGAGTTGTGGTCCTCAGTAAGAATCAGCCACTTTCCCCTGTGCCCCCAGTGCTGAGTGACACTTACACACGCTATGGACTTGCTAAATAAATCTATGCCATTAAAAGTCAGAGTAACTACACTGCCAGTGGGGAGAGCGGGTAGTGACGAAAGGGGAGCGTTAGGGAGATTTCTGGGTGCTGCTGACGTCCTGTTCCTTGATCTGGGTGAGTTCAGCTTGTGAGAATTCACCAACTTAGTCACTTTTAACATGAGTACTTTTTAATGTCGATTGCATTTCAACAAATAGGTGAAAAAAATATGGCTTGGAAAAACTATAAGTGATTCCATCAAAGGCGAGCCTACGATCTGAGCTGTACTGACACACAGCCCTCACCCAAGTGTTCTGCTTAACCCACATGGACACGGTCCTTCCCCAGGTAACTCTGGACACACCCCCCTCTAGGTGATGCTCTCTATCACGGCCAGCACAGTCAATGCAAACACACAGCTCAAAACCTGAAGCTCTCAATAGAGGAGAATGGACGCGAAGGTTAGGGACAAGAAACTGAGACAGGACTGTCAGCTACACGTTAGCTAACTGACAGGATCTCAGTGAACCTTTACAACGCTGTGCGGAACAGGAAAAGACTTAAATGAGCTACCCGAGCCACACTGTAAAGAACAGACAGAATTCACATTCAACTCTGACACCACGCCCTTCATTCTCCCCCTGTAAATTATTGGAATAATTTAAGCTTTCTATACCTCTAAATACTTAAATCGATTTTTCAGAGCTTCAATGGTTCTTAAACTTTCTTCATGTTGCTTTTCTTTAGCTGCCAAAAGGGACTTCAGCTTTTCTCTCTGAAAGGGAAAGGAATAAAAACAAAGTAAAATCTCCCTGCGCTTGAAATAGAGTTAAAAATGTGAGCTGGAATTACTCTGAGGGCCGGAATTAATGAGTTCTCCAAACTGGTGGATTTTAATTATTAGTAGAGTTGCTAATGTGTATAATTATACAAATAATATATACAAACACTATTATAAAAATTCACGTTTTACTGCTTTAAGTCACTATTTTCACACATTTTCTTCACATAGCTTAGACTTTTTCATATTTTCACAGAAAACTATACTCAAACAATTTTGCAGTCATGTATAGCTTTTGTGTTTCCTTGAAAGCAATAACTAGACACAGAATCATGGTCTCCATCTCAATCCAGTGCTTCAACTGTTATTGCAATATCATTCTCAATTTACAAAATAGCTTTAAAATTAAATTCATCATCCTACCTCACTTTCCAGATCGTCAGCAACCATTACTTCCTAAATGGAAGAAGCAGAAAGACATTTTAATTCTTGAAAATTTATTTTAAAATGCATGAGCTTGGCAAACAGCTTTTTAAAAGACTAGTACATGTCTTTAGGACTGGGGACAAGGATGTGAGAAGAACATGTCTCCGGGTACCAAGTCCGTTGCCTGAGTTGCTGTTTATTCCTCTCTCTAGTTTCAGAAGAACTTGTGATTCTTTGAGTCAAAAGAATCTCCAAGTTCTATTTGTTCTTCGTTCTGTTTACTGCGGCCTCCTCTTCACTTCCATGGCCTCAATTACAGTTCAGTCCTTTATTAGCACACACCTAAATCAATAATTGCCTATTTGGTACTACTTTTTTATTGTGAAATATTATATGTATATATACATACACACACATATATATATACACACTATATGCATATACATGCATATAGTATAGTGTCACTTTTCAGTATTTAAGTATTACGTAGAGCACAATAAAATGAACGTCTGTACCACTATCCTCGTATACTTACTTGAAAGGTATGTATATACTGTATTTCTAAAGTGTAGAGTTAAATATATGTGTTAAAACTGTTTACTTTCGCTCAAAGCTGTTAAAGCATGATCCATCCTTTGGTAAGCCTTGTGACAAGCAATGACAGCCCCTTGACACAGTCACATCAGAAAGCTTAGCAGAGATCCTTTAGCCCTTCAGATCCTGCAGCCCAGGCAAGTGCCTGGCTGCAACCTAACGAGGGACCTGAAGCTGAAACCACCACGCTAAACCATCTCCGGGAAGTGTACAGAATAATAAACATGCGCTGCCTTAAGCTTTTACGTGTGATGGCAACTCACTATACGTTAGTAAAACAACTAATATACGTTGTGGGTCAGAAATTATCTTTATTCTATCCTCTCCTTTGGTTGGATATTTGGTTGGCTATCAAATCCTAGTGTGAACTTTTTTTCCATCAGAATTGTGAGGGCACTGCTCCACTGTCTTCCCATTCCCAGTCTCACAGCTGAGAGATTCAAAGCCACTCTGATTTCTGATGTGACCTGACCTTTTTGGGTGAGTGGTAGGGACATTTGCAGATCTTCTCTGTCCTCGTTTATTTCAAGTTTGACAATGATTGCGGGTTTCATCAATGGTGGGTCCTTTCTACATGGAAAAGCTATTTCTCTCAATTCTGGGAAGTTTTCTTTTTTGTGGGGGGAGGGTGGTTTCCGGTACCAGGAACTGAACTCACGACCTTGCGCTTGCCAGGCAGGCGCTGTGGTGCTGGGCTAAATCCCCAGCCCCTCTGGGAAGTTTTCTTGAGTTCCTTTATTAATGATTTTTTCCCCCACTCTTCTCTCTTCCTGGAACAACTATTATTCAGACCACTTAGTATGCTTTTTAATCTTCCTACTTTTTTTATTTGCCAAGCCTTTTCTCTTTCAGGGAATTTTCCCAGCTTTATTTCTGATATCAGAATTTCCCTTTTAGAAGCATCTTGTGCTTAATTCATAGCCATGATATACTGTATCTCATTGAAGATATTAATTATAGGCAGTTTTTTTTAAAAATTTCTTTCCCTGCAAAATCCACTTGTGAGTTTTTCCTGTGTTTGTTCGGTCTCTACCTGCCACGATGGAAGCTCTCCTTGTATATGTGGCACCCAATTTCTGTTCAGGTTCAAGAGTAGAGAATTAAGGAGGTGACTGGAAGGGCTATGCCTGGGTACGGCATCTCCACTCAGAACTTAAACTGCAAGATGATACAACTGGACCAAGCCATTCTCATGATAAAATGTGCTTTAAAGAATTGATGATACCTGTTGATGATTATAGGTAGTAAAACAGTCTTTGAAGTTTTTAATTATGCAGATTATTTACCTCATTCAGCTGTAACTGTAGACCATTGACTTTATCCAATAGAATTCTTTGTTCTTGCTGAATTTTCCTCAACCTCTCTTTCAAATCTTCATTTTCAACCTCCAAATCCTTAGTAATAAAGAAAACAGACAATACTAAAGAGCAAATCTTATAGAAAAAATTCTTTTTTACAGTAGTGGGGATTTAACCTAGAGCCTCTGCACTGAAGTACAACCCCAACTCTTTGTTTTTTTATTTTTATTTGAAACACAGTCTCACTAAATGGTTCAGTTATCCAGGCTGGCCTTGAACTTGTGATCACTCTGCCTCAGCCTTCCAAGTGGTATTTTCAGTATATGCCACTTTGCCCTGCTAAAAGAAACTTTTAAAAGCAATTCGCTATCATATATAGATATATACATATACGAAACAGTTTTAAGTACATATGATACAGTAGTTTCTGAAAGTATTGAGTTTACTTTAAGGCATCACATCATTTGGTTATCAATGAACAAAGCATGTTTGCATTATACATTGATTTTTAGAAAGTACACATTGGCAAACAAGAAATAGGGTAACTAAAGAAAGAGGTGTGGTTTTTAGAAATAACTAGTATGGAACTGAAATAGAAAACCTTTTTTTATGATACAGTCATTTCAATGACAATCAAATGACTGAAAATCTAAAGATCGGTAATAAAATCACTGTCCTATGATATCTATTAAATACAAATATTTGCAAAGAGAGCAAATAATTATGATTCCAATAAATAAAAGCAACACCTGAAAATCAAAAATAGTGGAAGAACATACCATTTTAACTTTTGCTTAAGCCATCCCAAGTTTATGACAGTATTCTAAGGCTTCCATTAAACTACCCGCCATTTCAGGGCTCTGATAAAATAGTAGAGGCTCCTATTTAAAGTGACAGCTCAGGTCCTTAACACTACATAAGAAATCACAAAAGCCAAATAAAATGCTTTCATGCTACCATATTGAAAGCAGCTGGGCTGGGGATTTAGCTCAGCGGCAAAGCGCCTGCCTGGCAAGCGCAAGGTCGTGAGTTCGGTTCCCGGTACTGGAGAAAAACCAAAAAAAAAAAAGAAAGCAGCTAATTAATTTAGGACTTAATGATGTTTTAGTCATAGACTAATCACAGATTCCTGTTCCAACAAAACTCACCTAATAATTACTTTTAGATAACTGACCAACCTAAAAGGTGAAAAGCACTGTGTGATCAGTTTAACAAAATCATTTTTCTTAATCAGAAATACTTTAAGAAAAAGTTTAATTTTATTGACATTAACGTTACCTGTATCACCTACTTAGTTTTCCCAAATGAACATAAAGGCATGGTTTATATCACGAAAATACATTTACATCAACAGAGTTATAGATGAAATTGTTAAGCTAAATGCCTTTTTTCCCTGATATACTTTAAAATAATATGTTCTACACCACGCCTCCAATGTTATATACTTTAACTCCGTAATACTGACCCTAGGGTTCGCAAGAAGTCAATTCTTATAGGAGGGACCGTGCAAGCAAATAGTCTCGACCATCGCCAGCCTCCCTGCTCATGTCACCTGCTCCCTTGCTCCCTGTCCTCTCCTTCCACTACAAGACCTCTGGAATTCTTTTTAAAGGGAGATACCAATTGATTTTTCCCTTTACCTGAATGTTCTGATGCTCCCTCTGACTGGATTTCATGCTGACTTCATCTTGCACATGTGTCAAATTCCGCTTTGGGAAAACATAAAGAAAGGTGGGTTAACGAGTATAAGAATACAGGGAAGCACTATACTTTCAGTACGCAACACACCCACTCAGTGCTTCGCAGTTCATCCAACATTGAGTTTTGCTTTATGTAACACAAGGTGGCAGTGTTTCCTTTTCAATCCCCCAAATGCGAAGCATCTTCAAGGATATAGGCTTAAATAAATCAAGTATAATTCCTTTCAAAACACTAATCAAATTTTCTAAACTTGTTCAAGATTTATTTTACCTAATGTTACAAAGTTTCGATAAGAAACTTTTGTACTAGACATAAAATGGAAGTTGTAGTATAAAGTGTCACCTACCACTCCCAAAGGAAGAATTTAGTTTTAAACACAAAGGATGGGGAAGAGGAAGTCACATTAAGTTTGAAAGACAATATGGAGATTATTTACTTCTCTACACTGCTAAAACAAGAGAGACACGGTAAGGAAAAGACAATCTTCTTTACACAACAGGTCTCCAAATAACTTGGTGGGAGATATGTTCTCTTTTTGTACACCTTCTGGCTGTCTTGAAACTTTATTCCAGTTCACAGAATTGTGCTAACAAAAATGCAACACAGTGACTAGACAAGGAAATGATTTTTTTTTTAGTCTTCTTGAGACAGAGTCTTGCTATGCAGTTCAGGCTGGCCTTGAGCTCACTTTGTAGCCCAGGGTGATCTTGAACTTGCAATGATCCTCCTGCCTCAGCCTCCCGAGTGCTGGATTTATAGTGTACCACCACGCTCGGCCATTTTTTGTACCTAGATCAGTGTTTAAGCTTGCACAATGATTTATTTTGAAAGCTATCTCTCTCCTTGAATTTTTTAAGGTGCTGCTTTAATTCTCCAAGAAATTTTTTTAATATTTCATATTACTTGTTGACTTTTAACAAAGTTTTTAAAGCATCATTCTAATGCGTCTGGATCTAGAACTGGAGGGATAGGCCCCAGAGGAAAAAGATCTCCTGTCGCCACAATCTGGTCCAAACTACATTCCAGCTCCTTCCTCCTACCAAGGGACTGCTCTTCAGGCAGAATCTGTGGTCTGCCCCTAGCTAACTTCATCAAACCACTTTCATCCCTTATCGTTGTCATGTTAAATCCTCACCCACTGCCTCCACTCACCACCCACCTTGCTGAGACACAATGTCAACGCCATCCACGAAGACCCCCCTTCCTATCAAAGCCTTCTTTTACCTTTCTGAGGTGCTGAGGATTGAGCCAGGGCCTGGCACATGCTAGGCAAGTGCCCTACCACTGAGGAACCCCTCACCCCAGCCCCACAAAGCCTTCTCCGCACACTGAAAAACCTGCTATTCCCTCCGGTCTCCCTGAGACAGTGACTGACTGCAGCGCTGACTGGGGGCTGCATCCTGCCTTCTGCTTGTGTCTTCACCACACAGGTCCTTAAGCGGTCACCTGACTACTTTATCAGTCTCTTCTGCCTCCTCCAGCATGTGCACATGACCCCAGGGACAGCTAAATATGCTCCCTCATCAAGGGCTGGGGAATCTGCCCTTCTCTCTGTCCATGAGGCTTCTCCCACAGGCCCCCACCCTCCCCCTCTGCATCCCTCAGTCCTGTTTTTCTTGGTAACATCTACTAGGAAGTTAAATATTCATTTGTGTATTGCTCAGTGTTTGTTTCTGCAGTACTGGGGATTGAAGCAGGGCCTTGTGCAGGCCAGGCAAATGTTGCACCACTGAGCTACAGCCCCAGCTTTGATTATAGGCAGGGAAGCTTCCTGAAAGCAGGAACTGTGTATGCTACAGTATCCCAGCGCTTAGGATACAACTGGTACATTGCAGATGTTCAGTGATTATTTGCTGAGCAAACAACCAAGTCTTGATTTCACAACCGTATTGCAGTCTTCTTGATAATAGGGATTACATGGCCCTTAGTATAAGAATAAATCCTATTTACAGCAGGTATTCTATAAGTATATTTAATAAATAATAGAAACACAGTAATTAGGAGTCCTGCTATTCCCTGTAGAATAGTAACTCCTGACATCACTTAGTTAATTCCTAGAGCCCTGAGCAAAGTACCATTCCCATTACAATATTTAATAATTCTTCATCCTAAGTATCTGTACATTTCAGAACTCATTTTCCTCTGATTCTCTGGGAGATGGCTGGTACAGACGTAACAGTGTACACTTTATTTCACGCTACTCCACTTAGGATGTCTGAGGAACAGGATTAGGAGCTTGAAAACACCTGTCCAGACGGGAAAGAGAAGTACCAGCAGACATGACCCATGCGTGAATGCACCACTTAATTCTGATGGACAGAAAAGGAAAACAAGCCTTCAAACAACTTTGAGATAGAAGTGATGCAGAATGAGGATGAGACGTGCTCAGAAGGTACCTGATTCCTTCCTCTCCGGGGTTTGGAAGTGCCGGGTTCCTCTCCCTACAGAAAAGCTGACAGCCTGGAAGGGAACAGCCAGCGGAAGAGGAAAGCTGCCTACACTAGCTTGGGAGCCAGAGTGCCGTAAACCAACCCCACTTTAGCTTGAAGAGACGAGAGGAAAACAGAAGACATTTAGTCAAACTGGGATGCAAAACCAGGGTTAAATGTGATGTTAATAAAATTAGTACAAAGTATGAATTGTTTCACGTATTACATTATTTTTTAAAGTCAATTAAGTACACAAAAAAAAAGACATAAAGAAGAAATAAAAATGCTAGCAGTGATATCTGAATCACAATATGTAATCAACTTTGAATTCTGTTTTCTTCATTTCTTGTTGCATTGGAAGAATTCTCCCGTAACAGTGCATGATATGGCTCTGTATGGGAGAATTGGGAAAAACTGCCTATGATCTGCTGCACCAAATTTCATCATGTAAGAATCCCCACACGGTACACTGTGAAAAGGCTGGGTGTTCAAGGCCCTGATCAGGAGGCTGCTTCCCACTGGATATGGCTCTGTAATTAAGATCCATTTTCCCAGGCTGACTGACAGAACCTTAATGGGACGTTGTGAACTTAACACCCGGATTCTATATATACTTATAACTGACTGAAGACAGAAGGTGTGAGACCCAGAACAGCTCTCTGTGGCATTAACTAGCTTTATGAAGCACTTCAAAGTGCACAACAGATGCAATTTTAAAATTAAAATTAAGATCTACCTGTTGCAAAGATGGTCCTTTCTTCCAAAGTTCTCTTCCTAAAGATTTAAAGAGAGAAAAACAGTAGATAGCTGGGTAACATAGGTAGACTTGCACTTCCTAATTATGCAACTGAGTTGACATTAAATCAACAAACTTTCAAGTGTCCTCTAAAACTTACTACTTCTTGGTTTTGTTTGCAAAACTTATGCTGAAAGTATTACTGAGCTAGCATTTTCACCTATTAGCAAAGTTTATTTAAAACAGGATGATATTCAGGTAGCAAGGAAGGTGATTCGTCAATATATACCTGAAAACTTACAGATATGTGCATACCTTGAAACCCAGTGACTATATTTCTAGGAGCTGATCCTAAGGGTATAATAGAAATATGCTAAAATATTTACATATAAAGGACATACTAGCAAAAAACTGTAAATAACCTAAACACTCCCTATAGGAAACAGCTTTACTAAGTGAAATTCAAAGAAAAGAAATCTGATGTATCCATAAAAATTATACTGCAGAAAAGTATTTATGAGGGGAAAACCTTCAAAGTACATCACATATAAAAGTAAGTTACAACTGAGTAGTACAGATGACCTTGATATTATGAGTCAGGAAGTGATAGGAAAGATATGCTTCCAAATGCTAACAGAGGCTCCCTGGTAGTAGGATGAGTAATGAACTTTATCTGTGTCTCTATATTTTCCAATCTCTCTTTCATAAACATAGAAGAATACTTGGGACGGGCATTGAATACATTAGCTGAATATTTGATATGCACATATAAACAATGATTCTTTCTTTAAAACTTTGTAAGTACAAAAGTTAGGAGCCTCACTCTTATCAAAAAACATTAACAACTACAAATTTTATGTGTCAATTAAAAATACTCCTAAAAAACCTGACTCTTCCTTCTAGGTTCTTAAATCGGCCTCCAATGTATTGGGTTTCCTTGATAAACTGGACAATATCTATCACACAAACTGCCTTGAAATAAGCAACTATGATGTGAAGTAATCAAGTCCCTGGTAGAGAGGGAGAAGAACCAACACTGTGTATCGCTCTTATTATCTAAGTCTCTAAAAGCTGCTCTTTATTAACCTGAATGTTTCTAGTCACAGAGAAGAAATGGTACCTTTACTGGTATTTTCCATCGCAGTCTTCAGTAAGGCTAGAATGTCCAGATTGTCACCAATTCGTGCATAGTAAGAGCTATCATGGCCAAGGGCGTCCAGCAAGCTTACATCTGCACCATTTTTAATTAAGATTTCCACTGCGTCTCTGCAGCCATATTCACAACCCAGCATGAGAGCAGTTCTGGAAGGACAATGGCAGAACACAAGACCTTGAAGAAAAGCCAAGGAACTGTCTAAAGGCATTCTTAAAAAAGAGACACTACTTTAACAAGCTGTATTCATTATGGACATGGGATTTTACTTTAAACTTTTAGCTTGTATTTTAACCTCATCACATTATAAAAACATTTGCTTTGTGTCTTTAGCTTGCAGAGCAAGTCTTATATCCTCGTATATATTTTAATTACTCCTACCAATAAACTTACCTAGTTTATTCCCATTCTTCAATACCATAAGTAAATAACCTCCAAATTTTCCACAATGAATATTATCAGCTTGAGAATATTATATGCTTGAGAATTCTTTTTAAATGTGCTTCTTCCAGTTTGGAGTTTTATATCAAAATAACCAATTAGTATTTTTACCAACTAGTATTTAACAGACTGTAACTATCCATAGGTTATTATTTATAAAAGTCTAAGTTAAAGAAATCTTTGAATAAATGGTTCACCTAACAAAGCTGTAAGTGAATATTATTTAATTTTGGAAGTGTTCTAAAGTTATGTTCATATATAGAAATGGAGAAAAACATGTACAGAAAAGACCTCAGGTGGGGTGGGGGATTAAATTCTTTGGAAATATCAATAAAAATAACTTGTTGGAAAAAAATAATTTCTAGAATCCTCCTAAGGAGGATTTTCATGACAATATAATCGTTTCATGATTACAGTTTACTGATACACGACTCCTCAAACCCCAGCTATTCAAAATCCTTACATAAACTGGAAACAAACCTCCCCTACAAATCCCTTTCCTCCCAGAAAAGAATCAGTTTCTGTTCACAATGTCCTGTTTAAAAGAGCTTTTCTTCTCCTACATGGAAAACTTTCATGGCTTTAGATTACATTTGAAACATGTCTCCTTAACAGAATTTCCTCAACTACCCCCAGGCTAACATGGACCAGAACTTCATTCTGCCCATAGAACCATAAGCACTTAAACATTTCACCGTGTATCAGTAAACTGTAATCATGAAACGATTATATTGTCATGAAAATCCTCCTTAGGAGGATTCTAGAAATTATTTTTTTCCAACAAGTTATTTTTATTGATATTTCCAAAGAATTTAATCCCCCACCCCACCTGAGGTCTTTTCTGTACATGTTTTTCTCCATTTCTATATATGAACATAACTTTAGAACACTTCCAAAATTAAATAATATTCACTTACAGCTTTGTTAGGTGAACCATTTATTCAAAGATTTCTTTAACTTAGACTTTTATAAATAATAACCTATGGATAGTTACAGTCTGTTAAATACTAGTTGGTAAAAATACTAATTGGTTATTTTGATATAAAACTCCAAACTGGAAGAAGCACATTTAAAAAGAATTCTCAAGCATATAAAAAAATACCATTTATATGCCAGTATTTCAATCATGGTATCTTTCTGAAGATACCAACTTGTGTTTTAAAAAATTACTTTCAACAAGGTCATTTGAATTTCTATCTGTTTATTGCCTGTTTGGTCTTCCTAAACTCAAAGTTAAATCAGCCAGGAGTGCGAAACCTTTGAGTCTCCTTCGATTTTTCCCAAATCACCCACAATAATCACTGGCACTCTGATCTTCAATTGTAAAGACTGTTAGACATTATTCTGTCAGCTCCTTTATTTTTACTGCTTTTCATCAGAGAACTTATTTTTGCCTTTATTCTTCTATGCATGTGCTCTTTCTTACACAACCAGCCTGTCTCCATAGTTGCTGGTATAAAATTCTATACAATATAAGAGTTAACATTTCAATCTTTGATTTTTAAAATGCAAAGTGTAAAACAGGAAAGAAAACACTTGCATACAGAGTGTTGGAAACTATATTTTAAAAACCATGTGCTAATCTAGTTTCTTCAATATATATTGCTCTAAAGCATTGTTTTGTGTGTGCATGTGAACTCCCAATGAAGGAAAAAATGCTTCAAAAATATAAGATCTAAAAATACAAGGTATTACATGTGGACTAACTAGATCACTCCTCTTCGATCCAAAAACTTAATTTTAAAGTCAAATTTTCTTAGTCATGCTTGCAACCAGCTTTATCTGCAAAAACAAAGTAATATGAAAAAAGTCACTTTCTCAATCACATTCATGATTTAGTTGCTTAAGAATTTCCTCCTCTCAGATGTCTGGACAATACAAACAATTAGAGCTATAAAATCTGACATCAAAAGACATTATTTGCCTACTTCCGAGGAACTACAAACAATAGGGTATATGTTTAAAAGAATAATATTAAGTAGAAAGAGAATGTTTAATTAGCAATTATCTATAAAATCTCATAAATTTTAGTTATAGTTTAGCTAACTGGGGGACATATTTCAGGTATCTGTTGTCAGAAATTTTGTGATCGTAAATGTCAGAGTTACGATCTACTGAGCACTAACATACCCTAGGCCTGGACAGGGACAAAAGCAGAACTATGGTAGAAACTACTATAGCACAGCAACTACCGGACGTTCAAATAGAGGAGGCCCAGCACACTACAGGAAGCTTGGGGCACAGAGACCGACCCACTTTCAGAGAAGGAGACAGCCCTGTACCTGGCTAGCTAAGAAAAACAAACACCTCCAGGCGATCTAAACTGACACATCTCAAGTTCAGGACATCCGAGGGCCAGCTGAATCTCAAAAGATTCCTGTGTTTTTAGTTCAGTTTGGGTAATTCACACATGTCTAGGAATCTGTCCATTTTTTCAAGATTGTCCAGTTTGTAGCATACAATTTTCCATTACTGTAACTAACGCTCTTCTGGGTTTTGGTGGCATCTGTATGATTTTGCCTTTTCTATTGATACGGGTCTCCGTTTGGTAAATCTGGCTAAGGTTTTGTCTATTGTGTTCTTTCAAAGAACCAGCTCTTCAATGTACTGATTCTTTATATTTTTTAAGTCTCAATTTCATTAAGGAATACTGCTCTACCATAAAGACAGACAAATTTGAGTCATTTATAGGAAAACAGATGCACCCTGAGACCATAATGTTAAAATCACATAAGCTTAAATACTGCATGATTTCTCTTGTATGAGAAACCCAAAGTATAAGTAAATTAAATAAACTGCAATATTATAAGTAAAATTATAATAATTTTAATACAATAAATTAAAGAGCAAAATAAAAGACAGATAATAGGAAACAGGGAAACAGATCTTTTGTAAATGGAGGGAGGGGGAGGTAAAAAGAATTCGGCTGTGTTACGCACACGTACCAACTCCCCACAGTGAGTGTAACCACTGTGTACTGCAAACACACAGTAATAAAAATAAAAATTCAAAAACGATTCACAAGTGAAAAAACACAGTGTAGCTGCAACTTTCTTATTCTTCTTCTCTATTTACTTGTGCCCATTTTATTTGCAGATGTTTAGGCTTAAAATAACTGGGATACAGTTCCTCTTTCCTTTATTTCTCGGACCGAAATCACTGCATTTCACTCAGGACTCATCTCACCCTCTTTCTCTACTTCCTGTCTTCCTTCCCGCAGCCTCCAGAGAAAAGTGGATGACAATTCCAAGCAAGAGCAGGCCCAGGAAGAGAGAGCGGAGGGCAGGAAAGGCCAGGACACAGCAGCAGAGTTTCATCAGCGCGGTGCACCCAGCTGCTAGCTAGCACCATGAGAACACCGTTACCTGTTTTGTTTGTCTCTGGAATTGATATCCGCCCCTCTGTCTATCAGCAGTTGACAGATGGTTGGCCTGCACATCTGAGTAGCCAGAACAAGTGGTGTCCGCCCATCCTAAACAAAAGGAAAATAAACCAGCAGTAAGAGAACAAGGCTCCCAAAATGTAGCAGTTAGAACGCACGAGTCGAGCTGAGAATAAACATAAACTGACTTACTATGTCCTTGGCATTCACAGAGGCCCCATGGTCACAGAGCAGCTGGATGCTGGAAGGACAGTCTGCCATTGCTTTGGGAACAAAGGGAAATGAAAAGTGGTGAACATCTGCGGGAAGACACATGGTCTCTGACAGTAACTCACACAACTCAGCACAAGTCCTTCAGTTCCTCCACTACCAAGCTTCACATCCTTCTGTCTCAGTTTAGCACTGCAAGCACCAACTTTCCAGCTTAAAGTGGATTAGACAAAATCATTCTATAATTTTCTAAGTGATTTATTAGGATCAAGGGATAGTGTCAGCCTTAAAGAAGACAAGAGTATACTACTACTCTAAGCGTGAACATAGAAAAGAAAAAAGCCAAGTTACATTTTCTATTTACAGTCTATTTTTAAACATGGCTAAAACTGCCTTGAAGTGCGCGTGTTCTCAGCAGGACTTGATACCGTTATTACTGAGGGAATGCTACGCTTACTTGCTCTCCCCTTTGTGGAAGGAAGCCTTCTTACACTTATCCCGCCAGTGCTCCTTCACTGTCTACTGGGGAACAGGTGCCTTCTTTTCAAATGTGCGGATCACTGAAGTCACCTCAGAGCTCAAAAGAGACACTGCACACTTAGAGAAACCTTAGACTTCAAGCTAGGTGCAGAAACTGAATCCGTTTATGTCTTTTCTTCTTTGGGAAGAGGACACAGGTTCTATGTGTGGGAAGTAGGGGCTACACAAATATCTGCAAGACCCAAGGGTTCGACTGCAGAAGCTGATACTGGAGTTCTTTTAGAATAACAACAAAAAAGTCTTCCTCCTACTAATACATACACTAAGTGAATATTAGGATTTCAATCAGTCAAGTTGTGCCAGTTTCAAATACATGGATGATAAGACAGTAACTCACACAAATTGTAATATATGTAAAAATAAAAATGCTTTGTAAATAATACCATTGTACATAAAAACAAGAGTAGAAAATACGTTGCTTGAGAAATTAAAATATCATAAAGAAACCTAAAATGCAAAAAGAAGAAACTGAATAAAAATTAAGGTATAAAACTATGAAGGAAAACCAGACATAGTGGAGCATGCCTGTAATCCTAGCTACGTTGGAGGCTGAGACGGGAGGGTCACAAGTTCAAGTTGGCCTAGGCAACTTAGTGAGACTGTGTCTCAAAGTAAAAACGTAGCTCAATGTAGAGGAATGTAGCTCTATGGCAGAGTGCCCCACTAGCCCACATAAGGCTCTCAATTTAATTCTCAGTATTGTAAAACACACACACAAAAAAAACTGACAGAAACTTTAACTATACTATCTTTAATGCAGATAACTTTATCAAATATTCTATATACTGTACATGAAAAGAGAGGACAGGACATCTTCTTTGCTTGGCCTTCTAGTAAACTATAAGAATTTCAAATTTAAAGGAGTCAAGATATCTTACATTCAAAAATACTTAAGACTTTTTCAGTGTATTTCTTTATAGAGAATAATGCAGACAAGTTAGATACACAGGTATGATTAATAAAATTTAGTGAAATGACTAGTAAAAACCTTTCTGAAAATATAGCACATAACAATGATATGAAATTCAGCATTGACACCCCTAAATCAAAACCACTACCACCATTAAGAACTTACTGTATGTCAGATACCATTTATGATTTAATTATAACTACTTATTGTAATAGTATGATTACCTTCATTTTGCAAATGAGAAACATTAGGTTTAAACATGCTAATTACACAGACACCGTTTTAGAAAGAGAAAAGGTCTTTCCTCCTTCCTATTTCTCCCGCCCGTTCTCAAACTCATGCATACTGTCTCCCCAACCCCTCTCTCTTCCTCTCCCTTTCCCCCTTCTCTCCTCCTCTCTCCTTCCCTTGTCCTCCTTCCCTTCCTCCTCTCCCCTCTGTCTCTCTTTCCCTCCCTCCCTCCTTCCCTCATTCCTTTTCTCCCTGCCCCACTTTGAACTCCGAGACAGCAGGAAGATGCCTGATCCATTCTATGCCTTTAGTATCTCAGCAAACTGACTGGCCTGTTAATACTGACTGAGTGAATCTTTCTAAACTACACAGGCTAATAAATCTCGAACAGAAGTACATAAAGTGTTTAATATTATTTCTTCATGAATTATACAAATATATACTTGTTAAACCCTTGAGATCACTTTTCTTGGCTACACATTTTAACAAATGTTTGTGTCCAAGTGAAACCTTTGCTCACCTGCGTCATGAAGTGCAGTCCTTCCGTGCAGGTCCACATGTTCAGTGGGACAATTATACTGTTAAAACATAGAAACTCGGTGATCTAGGAAAGTCTTATTTTAAAATTCAATATCCAGACTCAAAGGAACAGCTGTTATTTAATCTTAAATTATCCCACTTATCAAAGAAACTCAAGACTTTCAGACAATCTATTAAATATTTTGACATGAAACAAATATAATAACATACTATAAGTGTAAATTTAACAGTATTTCACCAAACAGGAAACATATGGCCCATTACAATTGCATGGGATATTGAAAATATGTTATTGTTTGGAGTTTTTTTTTCCTTTAGCAAGAGTTGAAATGAACCACTTGAATTATAAGAACAAATCAGCACTGCTGTGAAAATTGGTGACAAATGTAGATCTGGACCCTTTGACTGAAACCTTAAATCAGCCAATTGGTTCCTTTTCTCCCTGCCCCACTTTGAACTCCGAGACAGCAGGAAGATGCCTGATCCATCCTATGCCTTTAGTATAGAATTTTGTGATTGCCTGATTAAAAATTTAACTAATTATGCTAATATTATGTAGTCTAACATCTCTGTATAGAAATATCTAAATCATATGCTCTATCACTTTATCTTATAACACATTGTAGACAACAGAAAATTCCAATCTCTAGTTAATGTCAACAGGAAGGTCAAGTCTTTGTTGTTTATTTTTAATTCACGGAGTTATGCAATTCACTTCCCTAGAGTTTTTGTTCTTTATTGTCTACATTCCTTCACAAATGATGGAAAAACTACTACGTAAGCTAACAAAGCTAACTCCCCATTTTCTTTGAACCCAAATTCCAGAAGACATTCAAAATGTATTTATTACTTGCTGACAAGATAATAAAACTAAAGTTTTAACCACTTCTACTACCTGCAGAAGTTTTTGTAGGCACAATGCATGTCCATACTTAGCAGCCAGGTGAAGCGCATTTCTCCCTACAAAAGAAATGTTAAAATATATGTGAAGAATTCTTTTCTTCCTCCATGAATTTTCATAACATAGAACTCTTTGTTCTAAAACTACTTGACAAGATACTGCATTTGTAAGCAAGCTTTCAGCTTCTAATATGTTTCATTACTTTGATATTTTAATAGGAGAGGAAGTACACACCAAAGCAATGAAGATGAGGGGGAAAATAATACACATCCATAAAGAGCAGGGCCTCTTTCTTATTCACCATTGTATCTCTAGCACCTGAGCAGTGCCCAAGATGAAGCTGGTAGTTAAATACCGGTACAGTGAAGAGAAGGGAAAGGATCAGAAAGGAGAGCGATTTCACACAACGTTTCCAAACACGCAGCATGGGCACTGGGAATGGGGAGGTAAGTATGGATCATACAAAAAGTTTTCCTTCATTTTATACCTCAGCTAAAATTCAAAATTCATTATAAGACTGGGTCTCTAAAAATCAGACAACTTGTACAAACACAGTATGCATTAAAAAGTGCAATCTTAACGGAAATGCAAAAGGGGTCAGGGAAAAAAGGTTACCAGACATTGGGAAAAGCCTATTCTCAAAAAAGGAAACTTGCGAAGAACAGCCTACTTCCACATACTCTTCTCTCCTAATTGTTTTTCTTTACACAGACAGAGAGGATGTTTTAAAAAATTATTACAGTAAAAGACACAGCACGATTAACTCCCCTCGAAATACTCCCCCTTGCTTCGAACATACTTATCCCACCATTCTTGCCACTTCCTGAAGCAGCTCTGCAAGTCCTCTTTTGTGAATGTCTTTAGGAGGTATGAGTAAAAAAAACATACAGTGAATGCTGCTCTGCCAAACGCCATCCAATGGAAAGGCAGACTCATAAAAACATGACAGAGTGCTCTCAGCCACCTTTTTCACTGGATGTGGCACCCCGTGCCTTTTGGTTCTTCCTCAGAGTCAAAATGACCATGAGAAGTAAATGTTTTACATGAGTTCCGGACATCAAGGTAGCTGTGACAGCACAAGACACTCACAGAAGAGGATTTCCAGGACTGCTTCCAAAAATGGCAAGAACTCTTGGATAAGAAGTCATAGAAAGAGGGAGCAACTTGAGGAGGACTCATAGCAATGTTCTTTCACTGTAATGAATTTAAATACTCACTGTACTATTCGATCACACCTCCTTTGATCACATCTCTCCTAAGTGGTGGAAGGTACCAGGGTTTGGCAGGCTAGTCTAGCTTCTAATTTTCATGCCCTTCATTTCCCCCTCACCTTTCAATTTCTCAAAGTTTAATTTGACTTCACCAGTATACCTTTCTGCTACAAAGTAAGTAACTTCTCTTCTCATTATCTGGTATGGATGAGTAAGTTGCCTTCCAATTCTCACTGAGTCGTATATGAGTTTAGATACGTGGGTCACTTTTCCTGGGTCTCACGGCTTCTGGATAGCTGACTAAGCAGAACTTTGAACCATCGGACAGGTCTTTAAACCGAACCAGAGACAACACGTTCAACCACATCCAAACGTCCTCTCACTCCATGTCAGTCACATGTGACCATTTCAAATTTCAATTTGTCACAGTTCATGGGCAAGCTTCTTTGAAACATGTTAGGTTGTGGAAAGAACTGAACCAGCAGAGTGAAATGTGGACAGCAGGGTTAGGCATAGTGCTAACCGTTTTCACTGTTCAGCAAAATACTACAGAAACTTATGCCATGTGAAAATGGTGGAGCGGGGCTAAGGAAGTAGTAAATCCAGACATTTCGGATATGGCAGCAAAAAAAATCAAGAAAACATCAGATCTCAAACACGGGATTTGCAGGACCATCCCAAAGGTGGTGGGTGTCAGGGAGGAGAGTTACCAGATACAATAGTAACTTCTCCTTTTAAACATCCTTCCATATAAAATAGGAGCTAGGGTAATGTACCTAAATATTTTCTCTCAGAGATCCACATCTATATTATAACAGATGCAGATATCTGATAGAAAATATTTAACAACAGAAAAAGCTCCCCATTCTCAAGAAAGGACAACTCTAGTGACAAGACAATGAACAAGTTAAATCAAAATACAGCTAAATAGTAGCATAAACCAAAGACAGGAACAATCACGCAGGATATGGTAAGATCCTGTACATGCAACAACGGCTGCTGACTTGGGAAAGTATTTAAATTTGATCTGCAAAGGAGGGAGGACGAAAGTCACTAAATTAGTCATGGGGCAAAAATGTCCAGAACAGAGAGAACACAGATAAAAACAGAAAGATACACATTCCAAAAGGAATCCACACAATAAATAAGTAGTCTTAGGAGTTCCCAAGAGGTGTAGTAATCTAAATTTTCTAAAACAACTTACGCTTTCCACTGATATTTAAGGGGAATATTTCAATAATAAACACATGCCTTTCTTCATCGTAAACAACAGAGTTTGGTCTTCAATTTAGAGTCTGATGTAACTTTAGGTAAAGACTTTCCTCACTGACTCATCTGTGATCTCTATTTCCCTCTCTCTTCCATTTCTAAATACAAATGCTCAGTAACAGTAATGCCCCATATATGCAGTCATAGGATAAAGTATTAAAGTTGTTAAGGAAATTCTACATGTAATTGAGTAACAAAGGAGAACTACAGAGAACTAAGTTTTAAGAATCATTACCCTGATAAATGACAACTAAGACTCTCACTGAAAAAAGCAATAGCTATGTTCATGCACTCACAGGTCTACAATGATGGCAAGTTTGAACTATAGATTTTAAAGGGCAGATACAGGTATAAATAAGTGGAAGCAGAAAACCAACCAAAAAACAGATTTCAACGGATGCTTTTAAACATTTTTATAAATATAATTTTTTATAAATATAGCTGGCAAACATAGAATAGGTCCCCCTCATAAAGCGTAATGGTTAAAAACACAGATTCTGACCACAATTCATCTACAGAAGGGCCTTGGGCAAGGGACTTCACAGCTCAGTGCCTCAGACCCACTGGGTCAGTGTGAGGGTGGAACAAGTTAGCACAGGTGCAGCGTGTAAAGTGTGAGGCGGTGACGGGAACAGCCGCACATGTTGTGTAAATGCCAGCTACCCTTGTTACTATCCTTGTGGAGGTGTCACTGTTTTCAGGCAGTTCATTCTCCACCACAAAAAATGTCCACCCCAGTGGCAAATGGCCACATGACGGAGAGGATTCACAAGGAGGAGTATATGAATAGAAACCAAGTGGTCACTAAAGATCCTTCAAAATCAGACAGTGTAGGATCCTACAACACAACTCAGACCAGTGCTAGCTGGTAGGTCTCCAACTGTTCATCAGTCTAGTAATCCTTTGTCCTAACCCTCTCTTCTCAAGGACACCTCAGAAGTAAGACTCTTCTCAACTATTTAAACCCAGAAAAGTAAGGACTTTTCTTCTGAAACTACTTTTAAGTCTCATTAAGAGTCTTAGATGGGTGGGAATGTAGTTCAATGGTACAGCGCTTGCCTAGCAAGCACGAGGCCCTAGGTTCAATCCCCAGCACCACAAAAAAAGAGAAAAGAACATTATTAGTGGACAACGTCTGTAACCTCTTTATGTTTAATCACTGAGTATGGAGGTAAACATACCTACAGAGTCGCTGGTTGTAATATCAACTCCATGTATGAGGATGGCATTCAAACACTCAAGATTCCCCTTTGAGGCCACAACATGAAAGCTAAACAAAAATAAAATATTTGTTATGCCATGAAAGCTACCAAGCATATTTAAGTGTTATAGTAATGTCATTCTTTAACACACACACACACACACACACACACTTTTTTTTTTTTGTCTTTTTGAGACAGGGTCTTGCTATGCAGTTAAGGCTGGCCTTGAGCTCACTTTGTAGCCCAGGCTGGTCTCGAACTTGCAAAGATGTTCCCGCCTCATCCTCCTGAGTTCTGGGATTACAGGCGTGCACCACTATGCCTGACCTTTTTTTTTTTTTTTGGCACACATACTTTAAAGGTTATGTTAGGACATCTATACAGGTTGAAGTTCTCTAATCCAAAAATCTAAAATTTGAAATGCTCCAAAATCCAATTTACATAAAAGGACCATGCATTCTAGGAATACCTCCTAAGATCCACTGAAATAATCTAATAGTCAATAGCCTTGATAAAAAAAATTTATATTATAATATCATTAACTATTATTTCAATAGCAAAGCACTGACTCTTGGAGTTTAATAAAAGCATACTGAAAATTTTCTATTAGATTATTTTGTTTACTTTCAAATATATTGAAACTGACAAAACAAATGAAGTTACAACATAATGCTCAGGCCAAAGACAGATCAAAATATTTATCCATTGCCTTTAGACATATCAAACTAAACCTGACACAGAACAGCCTCCAAAACAAGCAAAACTACCCTGAAAGGCAACAAAAGAGCTGATGGTCTTTTTAGTGACCAATGACTCCACCAAATTTATCTTCTTGCTTAAAGACTTATATGACTGGCTTATTCCATTATTTCTTTCATCACCTAATACTTTATTAATCAACATTTACAGAAACTGTGTAAGAACTGCCCACATTCCAACTGGTAAATATACCAGGAGTTATTGTCAAAGGACACTGAACTCAGGCTGAAACAACCGAGGTGCTAAACAAGTACAATCACCACCCTGCAGATGCTAGGAGACAACCGATGTGAATGTGCTCGGCCTGGACACAGGTACATTCTGCCTCACACTCACACTGGAGGTTTCCCTGGCCATACCACTGGACGCTACTAGGCCCCACCAGTCCCTGAAACCTTCGAACTCTTATCCCCTGCCATTGCCTTCATTATTCTATACGGAATTTAACACTTTTATTATGTAAGTTCTAAGTTCATTTTCTGTGTGGTGCAACAGTCTCTCCCCAACTCCACTGCAGATTCAATAAAAGTAGAGATTTCTGTCTGTTTTGTTTCCTATTCTATCCTCAGAACCAAGTTTCAGGCAAATGTGGTTCCTTAAATGTATGAATAACTAAATGTTTCGAGACAAAATCTGAAGATAGCTTGCAAATTCATCTTCAAATAGTACGACACTGAGTCACGTGACCCTACTAGCATTATATCAGATAAAAGGCAAGCTACAGACCAAACACTCCTAAGTAAGGCAGGCTTGTACACAACTTGAATTAGAGAGAAAGAGAGGTTTCTCATAAAGGAAGCATAGAGTTAAGAGGAAGGTTAGTTCTCTTTTCGGTAGAAAAATTAAATTAAGGCTGAGGGTATGGTTTAATCTCTCTACAACACTGACATGGTAAATTATACTATTCAATGAACCACTGGAACCTTTTTAGGGACACTAAATTACTTCACACAAAGGTATGAGCCTCTGAACTGACTTGGAGGTGACCACTTATGTTCGCTTGCTTGTATTCATTTCTTTGCTCACAAAATTTGAAAACACTCCTTTGAAATTCAAAAAATCAACTCTAAGTTTTCTTTTTTAAAAACAAGGCATGGACTCCTACTCCCACAGTGGAAGAGAGAGGTAATTTGGACAATCACGACCTCTGAGGACGACACGATATAAGCATCTGCTTGAAGGAATCAGTGAGCTAACAACAACAACAAAAACAACTAGGCCAGGATGCAATCAAAGACCCAAGTCCAGCGAGGTGAGCTTTGTATCTGGGGCCCTTTTTCCCTATAAGTATTTGCTGATTCCAGAGACGACAGTTGCTAGGCTTAACACTACTTTGACAGAAAATTGGGATCTGCAACTCTGCAACTGGCGGCAGGGATCTCTGGTGACCCTTCCCCATCTGGGGTACCAAAATGATATCACATTTTTGTAATTCTTCTAGTACAAAGAATCTAACTCAAAAATGAATCTTAGATAATAAATGTCAAAAAAATATTGAACAAAATTCATTTAAAACACTAAAAGTAGCCCGGCGTAGTGGTGCATGCCTACAATCCCAGCACTCAGGAGGCTGAGGCAGGAAGATCGTTGCAAGTTTGAGACCAGCCTGGGCTATAAAGTGAGTTCAAGGCCAGTCTGAATTGCATAGCGAGACCCTGTTTCAAAAAGACAAAAAAAAAAAAGTTAAAAAATAAAAAAAAAAAACCACTAAAAGTATAGATAAGTAGTACAAAAATATGATGAAATAAAGTTTCACTGAAGAATTTCATCCCAAGAAAGATCTTCATCTTTTAACATCTTAACACTTTGGAAAGAAAAAACTGGAAAAAAAATCACTCATAGATATTAAATTGCCACTATTTGTACTGAGTCCTATAAACACCTTCAAATTTAGCAAAAATAGAGGCAGGACTCAAAATAACCAATGTTTCTGTAACTATCAAATTACCACTTGACAAAACTGAAACACTATAAACTTCAAACTTTTAAAACTTTCTTGCTTTAAAAACTAATTTATGATCATGCTTCACTACCTTTACTATATTTAAATATCTGTGCATTCCAAGGTAGTGACCTAAATGAAACCTTCATTATTCACTTCCTAATATTCAATTCTATATTTAGTATCTGGTCTCCAGTTATAATACTCTGAACAAAGCCATACAAGTATCAGACTGAGGAATTTTGGAAATGAGACTTTTTACCTCCAACTTTGGAAGCGTTCCTAGATAAGGCACTAACTGCTAACGGACTTTAGATCTAGATCTAACCTTTAACTCAAATGCGCCCTACTCCGGAAAGGAAGAGGAGTGGTTTGAAGATGGAGAAGAAGAGAGGGCAACATATACATTCACAAATGTATGAACACGCCGGTAGACCCCCGGAGAACACAAAAACTAAAGTGGGGATCAACTACCTGTGCCTCCCTAAGCCACACTACTCATTCTGCCTCCTTTGTGCTCTAAAACTTCTCTCTTAAACCAATGATCCAAGTAAGAAAATGAGGGTTGGGGGTATAACTTAACAAAACTCCTCAGGGACAGAAAGCATGAGTTCACATGCGATTTTTCATGAGATTAGAACACATTATTAATAACCTCTGTAAACTTTTTCCTACTTTTCCATGGCTGCTTTGGAGAGCAAATGTGGTAAGGAACACAAAAAGGCTTTTAGGTGAAAATGCACCAAATAAACACAGACTGTGATTTACCACGGGACCTAAACAACAAGATCCGCTAGATAGGATTCCGGTGTTCTCTTTCTACCTTGGACATCTTTAAAACTGAGAATAATTATCAGTTTTATCAGTTTTAAAAGTTTAGTAGTGCCTGTAATCTCAGCACTTGGGAGGCTGAGGCAGGAGGATCACAAGTTCCAGGCCAGTCTGGGCCACAATAGTGAGTCCAGGTCAGCCTGAACTACAATAGTGAGACTGTGTCTCAAAAGAAAGAAAAAAGAAAGAAGGAAGGAAAGAAAGAAAAGTTCAGTAGTGTACATTTTGGTAAATAAAGACTTTGTAACAAAAAATTAGCAGCCACGATTCACAAGTTTCATCGGTATCCCAAACCCCTTGGGGCATGCCCTCATCACGGGGAACACTTACGCAGATCTGCCCTCCACGTCTAGTTTGCCTGGATTGACTCCCTTCTTCGCAAGGATGGAGGACACTTTCTCCACATCCCCTCTTTCTGCAGCTTTCATCAATCGGTCATCATATTTATTCCAATCTGCTGCATGCTACAAAAGGAAAAGGGCGTACTGTGTTAGTGAGATTTCCTAGAGGAAAGAAACAAAAAGGAAAGCAGTACTGCACAGTACATCGTTCATTTTCCAGTTGCACTCCGAGTGTTCTCCCGGCTGTGCTAAGTTCACCAGAACAGCAGAGTTACACAACCTTCCCGGAGCACAAGAAGTATTCTCTTTGTCTTCGGGGCAGAGAAAAGAAGTAAACGCTGCTGCACACCCACCCTGAGCCAGGCAGGAAGGACTGGAACAACCCCAGGGTACTACAGTTATCATCTCCACTTCACAGAGAAAAAGGCAAGGCTCTGGAGGACATGACAGGACTTAGGGAGCCAAGCTCAACCGTGACTTCTCTGCTCCCCAAACACCGTGTTCTTCCTGTCCCCTAACTCAGACTTTCAGAGTTGGCTCTGAATACAGGCAGGTCTCCCAGGACTCTCAGAGGCAGTGGAGTTCTGCATATATTTTAAGAAACTGTATTTCTCCTCCACTTATTTAAGAGGTACTGTTAGAAATATATTTATGGAGGCAAATTACACATATGCAATAGAGAAAGCAATTCATTACGCTTACATATTAAGATAAAAAAACGCAGAAAAAATTAAAAAGTCAACAAAGTATTAATTTCTTAAAATCTTAAGATAGGAAACCAGATTATTTTCATTCAACATATTTTGCTTTCATAAAAAAGATTTTTAATTTTAACAGAAAACTGCACATATATTTAAAAATAAGATTACAGATAAGTCTTTTTTTAAACAGACGAATGCATCACACAAATATATACTTTAATTGTATCAGGGTTATCTTTAGCAATGCTTGGAGAAAATATACTCAAGACATTCTGAAGCCAGCAATTTGAAACACTTCCTCCTAACTTCAAAGGTTCAAACTGCCAATTATAGGTATTTATTGGCTCAAAATCTAAACTACATTTTAGGTATCACCTTTCTTCAGCATTAGAACCAAACACCTACTGCCTCTGTTTGGAGGAGTGGTAGTGGAATTAGATCTAAGAGATACTGCACTTTCAAATACCTACAGGATTAGGTCATGTTTAGCACCCAAATACTTGCCCTGAATTGATTAGTTTATCCCTACAAGTAGAACAGTCTTTATTTCCAAGTAAACTTGCTGGAGGACAAAAGAGGTGTTTAAATCACTAAAAATTCATAAAAATCCAAGGACGGGCTTTTTAAAAAGATACATGGGATTAAAGACTCCTATTATCAAGTGATTTTTAATTCTACTTCATCAAACATCACTTTCAGTTGTGGGCCAATGTCAGTTAACTGCTCAGTTATTAACATTCTGCCCTGTGCTTTTTATGCCCAGAAAAACAAAATAAATAACTTTGTTTTCTATCACAATGGCAAGTCAGGTAGAAAATAATGATGTAAAAAAACCCAAATCAATGAAGCAGTACATTTTTAAACAACACCCTTCAGAAAGCCTAACCCAGAATCTCCAGTTACCCTGGACTACTGGGTTACCTACTCTGTTCCTAGGAGCACAAGACAACCAACAGTTCATCATAGGCAGGCTTTCGTTTCTTGCTCCTAACAGCGACCGACTCCGCATTAAGTTACAACTCTCTGCAGCAGCTCACAAAGCAAGCCCTCAGACGAACTCCTACGGAGAGGCTCCGTCCTTCACATGCTGTGCTACACTTAGCTTGGATCTCTAACGATATTTTCTTCGTCTTCAGGATCTTTCTCCGCCTTCATAACGCTTGGGAAGTACTTTCCTTTGCTGTGCAGCGCTTGAGGGCAGCCCCAAGTCAGGTACTGTAACTCCTCCTATTTCTTATTGTTTAGAAGCTGTCTTTCAAAAGCTGTCCTTTTCAGGGACCCCACTGGAAGACGCGAACAGTGCCCTGCATCCTGCTGCCTCGGCACAGAGCACAGACGCGGCTGCACGATAAAACTGGCCACGTCCGAGCTGTCCAGTAAACACTGCGCGTGCTGCCCGTCTCCCATTGGTGGGCTCTATTTTAGATTCCATAGGACTTGACAGCTGACTGATAGGAAGGAGCGGCTAAGAATACATTGTAAAGGCATGCTTCTCCTCTGAGTAATAGATTTCAGGTCTACTAGGGAAAATGACTCCAGCATGTTATAAAACATGCTTGTTATATCAGAACAATTCGTGTGACATAATGACAACACTGTTAAAAGACAAATTTGATTATTTTACAAAACAATATTTAAAACCAGTTTCAGCCTCAGGCTCATCTATCATAAAGTTACAATAGTCTTAAAGGACAGAATCTAGAATTCTCTTTAGGCCAGGCGTGGTGGTGTATGCCTGTACTCCCAGCACTTGGGAGGCCGAGGCAGGAGGATCACTGCGAGTTTGAGACCAGCCTAGGCTATAAAGTGAGTTCGAGGCCAGGCTGAACTGCATAGCGAAACCTTGTCTCAAAAGACAAAAAAAAAAAAAAAAAATTCTATTTAAAGCAAATGTGTGTCACACTTTAATTTAGGGAAATGCACACACACAGTAACACTTTCAAATTTTCTCCCTTTTAGTACCCCGACCAGACCAGTCTCATTCTGCACACAACCAGGTTTCGGCTTACAACTGCTGCCAGTCTGTCTCCTCGCATGCTAAATGAGAAGAGACAGAGGCACTGCCAAGACATTAAATAGACTACACCATGATGAATACTTTTCAGCAAATTTTAAATTTAACTCGGTACTCTTAATTTCCAAGTTTAGCACCCTGCCTGTTATAACAAGTAAATATTTTATCAGTGGAAAGTCAAATTATCTGGATTTAGTGGATAAAAAACAAACTGATTAAACGCTAAAGGAAGCAAATACGCATTAAAGACTGAGTTAGACTACCAATGAAACTCTTTGGGGACAAAGCGTAGAACTTCTCCACCTTCTCTGCGATAGCCACACTCGCAACAACATTCCTCACATGACCGAGGGCAATGCATCCACCAACTTCAGGGTGTTGTGTTTTTTGTTAAGCCATTTTCTACCTACTGCAACAGTATGAGAATAATTTATATTTCCTCCAAAAGCACACATTCAGGAAAACTGTTCTATGGGAATGCAAAGCATTCCAACACAAGTGGTTATCAGGAGGTGGTAACTGCTATAATTATAGATCATGCTGCCAGTTAAAAATTTTGTTATGAACTTCAATAAGAAACCCGTTTCCTACTATTTCACTTTAAAACATTAGGCCTACATTCTAATTAGAAAATGCACAAGGTCACACATCATAATGCATTACTTTTAAAACAATGATTTCGTTTCCCAAACCACATGCACTATCACAAAGGATTCATGCGGCTGGACCCAGGGACTCCACCCAGACTCCACGCTCCTCAATCACTGTCCGCAGAGGAAAGGTGGGGTATAACCCAGGCCTGTCCTTTGGTTAACAAAGCAAGCACATTCTTTCTAGAAATAGGACAGTGAAGGAAATAAAAAGAAGTGGGGGCGGGGGGCAACAGAAGCCATGGAAGGAGCTGTCCGCACTCAGGAGACGGGATCTGTGTGCCCTGGTGGACCAGAGCTGCCCTGTGACCCCCACCCCCAGCCTCTGTGGCTTCATCTGAGCCTGCTCCACTCTCGTCATCACTGCTGTTTCCCAAGAGCCCCAAGTGAATTCCTGCCTTTGCTGTCCTGTATCCTGTGCCTTAAAAGGTTCTTTATTTACTTTCATTCAGGTTCTTCTCAAATGTCACCTCCTCAAGGAAGTTTTCTCAGACCTCTATATCTAAGAAGCCCTGGCTACCCTTCCTTTGCACTCTATCCCATGTCACTGTCCCTTTCTTCAAAGCGCTTAGCAGTGTCTGTAGTCAGAGCCCGCATTTACCTGTTTATTCGCTTACTGCCTGTCTCCCCAGTGCCCATCTAACTGGGGTCTTTGCTTTGTCTGCTTTGAAACTATAAAAGTGATTTTAAATTAAGTCATTTGGTAATCCCTAGATTCATACCCACACTAAGGACCACAATCCAAATCTATGTCATGAATCCTCTTTCTGGAATTGTTAACTAGGTCAGATCTGGACCACACATTGACTAGAACATAGTTCCCCAGTAAGCACTCCACATTCAGACAACAAACAGCTATTCACCTGAATCATGGTGGGAAGCCCATGAGCAGTTCATATGATTGCAACTTGGCCAACAAGACCTTACTTCTAGTCAATAAAAGATCTTTACTGACCCTTAACTATATATCCACATGTCAAGCCTTTCTCCACTGTTCTACAAATCTCACTAGACCCCTCAGAAAGCATTATAAATAGTGGTTAGAGAATATATTTTGGAGTCAAACTTGGTCCAGATTTCAGCTGTGCTCCCTACCTTCTGGGTACCAGTGGGAGAACTCATTTGTACATTCTGAGCCTCAGGTCCCTCAACAACAAAGCAAGGATAACAACAGAAAATCTACCTGTATAAAATCAAAGAATTAATGCACATGGAAGGTCTCAGCACTGTGCCTGCAGATATTAAAGTCCAAATCTGGAAGGCACTGGTGATGTGCCTCACTGGAAATACTGAAATTATTTTAAAAATTAACGAAGAAGTAAAAAAAAATATTGGGTATTCATTTTGCCTTCCATTTCCAGACTGCTGTTCAGGTCTAGATAAGTCTGTTCCCTCAGAAATGCATAATGAGGCCGGGGGTACAGCTCAGAGGCACAAGCGCCCACCTGGGAAGTACAAGGTCCTGAGTTCAATTCCTGGTTACAAAAAAAAAATGCATCGTGAAATTTGGTCATCGGTGTGACTGAGTGGGCCTGTAAGGGGTGACTCACCCTCCAAGAGATTTAAGACTTCTGACAGGACTGGATTAGTTACCAGGAGAGCTGGTTGTTTTAAAAGGAGGTTGCCCCTTGTGTTACGCCTCTCTGTTCCACATTTATTTGCTGTCCTGCCTTCTGCAATGCTCTCATAAGAAGTAGACTAGATGCCTCCAGAACTGTGAGCCAAAATACACTTCCTCCCCATCATTCATTACCAAGTCATGGGTATTCTGCTATAGCAACAGAAAATGGACTAAGACATGCCAACTGCAAGCACCACAGTGTGGCCTGTGCTACCTCGCACTGGCTACAAATCACAGTTGCCATTACCCCCTCCACTGGTATAGTTAATTTGCCAGAGCCGCCCACGGAACTCAGGGAAGAACTTCCCTTACATTTCTTCAGTTATTACACAAGGTATTATCAGGGATCAGATGAAAGCCAGGGATCAAGCAAAGAATGTGGCAGGGGTGTTACCATCTCCTGGAGTGCTACCCTCTACGGGCCTCCACCTGTTTGGCAACCAGGAAGCTCTCTGAACCCTGTCTTTTTGGGCTTTGTTTTGTTTTTTGTTTTGGAGACTTGATTATGCAGACAGGGTTGATTACATTACTGGTTACTGGTGATCAACTCATCCTTCGGCCCCTCTCGCCCCTCCAGAGGCTAGAGGATTGTGTCTGCTGTAAGACCAGTGTAGGCAGTTGGAGCATTATTAGAGGATCCTGCTGTTTTGACTTCTTACCCAGTGTTCTTTCTCTTAATTAAGCTAGTTACACTTCTGTAGTCATCTGAAAAAAAAAATCTTCCACCTAAAACTGCAAATATCTCTTTAAAATTTAAACACAATAAATTCAAATGGTTTTTGTAGCAAAAAAAAAGAAAAAAGGATGAAAATGTTCACACTGGCATATTCAAGCTTTTTGGAAGCATCTACCTCATGTCTAACATGGCACTGAGGCTACAGCAGTAAGAGACTTTGCCTAGTGGGGAACTTGATGCTCTCGTGGGGACACACAGAGAGTAAATAACCAAGGAAAACAAGAAACTACCACGTAAGCAGAAAACAGAAGACACGCAGGAATGCTGGAGGAGGTCAGGCTGGGAAACCGTGAAGGGCTGTTCTGAGAAGGTGATATGATGGTGAGCTCCAAATGACAAGAAGCAGCCTGTGAGGGTTCACATTCCAGCTGGAGGGGCCCACTCTGAAAGGAGCCCGGCATATCTGCCAGAAGCCATGCAGTGAGGATAGAATCAGCAGAAGGGATCAGGGAGATCAGGGCACAGGGAAGGCAGGCACCACCAGACCCAAGCTGTGGGATTTCTCAGTTCTACCATAAATATTTTTCTAAAGGGACTTCTTCAAAGTTTGAGATAACTGCCTTGCATGATGTTCTTCTGGCTACTTTAGAATGAAGTCTACAAAAAAGAATACATCCTGACATACTATTTTGTTTTTCATTTCTAAGAACGGATATTGAGCAATAACCAGCTGAATCTTAACTTGCCTTGAAATGTTTACAATAGACAGTTATTTTAATCCATCAGATATAAAAATCAACCTCACCCACTTTGGACCTAGAAACCTAAGCAAACTTTACAACTACACTAAAAACTCCACCATAAAAATAGCACCTAAAAAACCATCATAATTTCATCCTCAAGATAAGGGTCTTTGGAAAAAAAAATATAAATGTAACTTAAAAATTTCTAATGGAAAATATATGTATATCCTAAATAAAACACACCTATCTGCAAATCCTCCCAGAATATTTAATTGAAATGAAATATACAGGCTCTAATACTAACCTCTAATTACCAACATTCCCCATTACTAAATCCAAAACAGTCTCTATCGCAGCTCAAAACTTAGCAAGCAGCAGACAGCTAAGCTCACAAAGCATGAACATTCTTTAAAGATTAGGCTGCACAATTAACTGTTGTACAGTTCACTGGACTGATGATAGTTAGATGTTTCCCCCATTTTATTTAGTGCAAAGGTTACTCATTTTC